AAGGTAATAACAAAAAATTATATATTATGAAAACAAATAGGGTAATTAAATCAATATTTGTTCGGGCTGCACTAGCTGCTGTTATAAAACAAGAAAAAAATTATTTCTCTAAAAGGATGGCTATTTACATAAAATTAGTGAGACGTGTAACAAGCATATAAATGCTGGATATTTGCTAGGACTAATATTCAAATGCTTAGTCATCCATGCATTTCATTACACTGCTAGTTAGCACTGTTCAATGTTTTAATCTACAAATTATCATCATGCACCAATAATAATAATTTTATAAAATTTTACTTGCTTCCAATTATAAAACAATAATTTCTGCTGGTAATTGATCATCCATAGCTCGCCAATAATTAGCAGTTTTCAAGTTTAGAATGATGTTCTTGATAAAAATAAATTATCTAATTAGTTCATCGAGCAAACCATTTTTATGTAATTCAATTGGATTAGGAACAATTTCGAATTTGAGACTTGGGTATGAAGCTAAGATAAAAGTATCTAGGTCATTAAAAATCAATATTTAACTTCTACGTAATTATACAAAAAGACTGAAAAGGACTGATAACTAATTTTGATGCATTCATGCATGAGATTCAAGAACGATTCTATTAGAGGACTTTACTTTTTTTTTCAAACTTATTCAAACTGATGGACTTGTCTGAATTGTCACAGTTGTAAGATGAATTTCAACAAAATATTCCTAAAGTTGTCATGAGAATAAGAAAGATGCTAACTTACTTATTTTTAGGATAGAGCTTCTGGCTCTTAGATGGATACAAGAGCTAGTGGATGATTTACATAGTTTGTCCAATTTCTGAAAGCCTTTGCATAGCATTTTGAGAATAGTGTTGTCACAACAGCTGAGAAATGTAAAATAGCAACGGATATATTAGATTCCATGTATCCTTAACATAAATGAAACATGAACTTCAAAATAATGGTTGAAAAATTACAACATCATTTGTTTTCTAATTACCAGTAAAGTACTCTGATTATCAAAGAATATTTTATTACTTCAAATTATACTATTAAAAGGGTTCATTGAAAACTTGAAGCATAAAGTTACTTATCTTAAATCATTGAAGCAGTCGAAAAGTTATTCTAGGAACGGATCTCTTGTAAGCAGTCACACAATGAGCATGTCAAGAATGAGTGGATTACGTTAATCCAAGTTGTCGGTAATTGAACGTGCGGGAGGGAAGAACTGCCAAGTGGAATGAAACCTTAATTATTCTAAAGGCTAAGAGTTCATATAGATGTGTCCTTCCAGGTACTTGTGCGCAAATCCTGTTAAAAAGTCTTGTTGGATAACCGCCAACTTGGACGACAAGCGGAAATAGAAAAATCAGAAAAAAAAAAATCATTTGAAAAAATCATCCAGGAAAAATAGTTATGAATGGCTGTGCCAACTGTGAAGGTTCATTTTAGATAAAATAGGGAAATAAAAATGTAGAATAAAAGAATAGTTATTTTAATTGAAATTATATAAATGAAGTTATTGAATTTTTTATTTAGTATCATTTTCATTCCATTTTATAAAAATAGAATTATATTGATAAATTTGTTGAGATAGAAAAATTTAATGAAATAAATATAGCTTATTCTTAACAAGGACGATGTAAAAAGTTATAATAAGAACAAAGTAAGAAGATAGAAAAATAAAATGAGACTTAATTTGTAGTCGTTTTATTTTTGCTTTTGATATATTCTCATTTTCTACTAGAATAGTTTAAGGATCATATTTTTCATATTACACAGTAGATGTGCGACACCACCTAATATTTCCAGATGAAAAAGTGGTCCGTAGTGGAGAAGAGATCTGAAAATGAAGGAAGAAAAGCACTAAAGGTTCTATGTGCAGACTGTATGAAAGTGTACGACTGACAGAATTCACAAAAAGGACACTTTTTTTGAAAAAGAATAAAAAAAAATGATATCTATCATATATTCAGATGCATGTTCACTTCTTTGTATCTACGTAGCTATAAATAAAAGAGAATATCATGGAGCTCTGTATTAAAGCTTTTAGTTTTTCATTATCTATCATTTCGGACTAATGTGTAAAGAAGGATAATCTTATTTTCTAAAAATCTTTATTATTAATTTAAAATATATTTTACTATTTGCATTTCAATTATTCATTTTTAAAGCTATTATTTATTAATTTGTTCTCATCAATCAGAGCATCAAAGATCACATGCTTCTAAATACTACCTCATTACCTCCTTAGGACTACTCATTACAGGAATAATTATTGAATAATCCTGGTCTTTCCATCTCGTCTGAGCCTTGATTTATGCCCTTTCAAGTGCTATATCAAGTCAGACGTCTCAAAAATTAAGTGAGTCATGTTAGAGAGTCCAAGTTAGAGCTGGATTTAAATTGCTATGTTAGGGATAGTCAAAATCTTTATTTATTGTAACGCAGAAAATCCTTGAACACTTTCGAATATTCTAGGAGCGTGTGATATTTACTATAAAAGCGTAAATATCAACCACAGTTGGTTAGTTCAAAAAAGACCAGCTAAAAAGTGATTCAAGTGTGTGTGTGGGGAGCACCTTTCCTATAAAATATGATAATTTCCTTTCTTGACTATATTTATCAACAAACTATTTTTCTTTATCTAATAAAACCTGCTACGTATTTATTCATGCAAACAAATTGGATATAAAATATGAATTCTATTTAATTTTAATTTTACAAATGTACACGAAATTATTGATGTTCTATGAAGTTTCTGACCATGTGAACATTAAATTGGACAACATATTTATTTATTCACTAAAAATAGAGGCAAACGTCATGCATGCAGCACAACAATTATATCAAATTAGCGTGAACTTTTGAAACAATGCATGATAATCAGCGAAATAAACTGAAATATACCTGAAAAGAGATAAAATATCAACTGTTGCACTCGAAAACTGAATTAACAAGGATTTGTAAATTTAATCTTTACTATCAAGTGATTCTGCTGCTGTAGAATTTGTAACTATTATCTCATATCAAAGATTATGCAAACTATGTTGAATATTCCAACCATACTACTTATAGTTACCTCGGTTTAATAGTCCTTGTTATTTAAGCGAGTAAAGTATTTCCAACAGAGCAATAAAGTTGCCTTAGATACGCGGTCGAACATCAAACCCCTGGAGTTTGATTCATTTACATGAATATCACTTCTTCCTCGTATTTCTCTTGGTTGTGACCACCAACTATCTCCTAATTGTTGTTTATTTTCTCCAACAAAAACTTGACTACTTATCACTGTTATCTTTCTTCTTGCTAAAATGTCTACCCTACTTGCTATAAACAATGTTATAAAAAAAATCTCTTTTTATTGCATAACTTCACCAAGATAAATGTGCCATTAACAGATTCATTATTACAATGTTATTTGCATTTTTTTATGTTTGACTTTATGAATAATAATTCTTATGTTCACATGATCATAAAAGCTTTCATTCTCCTTAATCAGAAGTTTTATTTTGTTGGAATAATTTTTTTTTCAATAGATAGTTTAGATAAAAATATCATTTATAAGAGTATTAATATTTGATGATATTTTTTTTTTTTTTTAGAGAAAACATTTGAAAGGAGCACTTTCTTAAGTAATGAATAAGATATTGAAAGGGATCATAGATAGTCAATAAGAGGATAACATTGAAATTTTAATCTCCCAGGATATTTTTCCACTCGTTGAGGGTATTCCCATGGAACTTATACGGTCCTTGATTCAGGATTAAATAAAAAAAATTGAATTTACAAAAAACTTATTTAAAACCATCACTCTACAAATCTTTTTATTTTATACATGAATCTAAAAATATTTGAAATTCAAATTTATATTTATCGTTTAATATTTTAAGTTTTATTAATTTTTTTTAATAAATTTTTATTTTAAAACACTTTATCGCGAATTTATTTTATTTCCCTGAGGTGTAAATAAGTGACCCGGATTTGCACTCTTTTATTATCATGTAAATATTATTCACAATAATAAGTAAAAAATTTTAATATCATCATAAACGAGATTTTAAAGTTTTATTGAGTGGAAAATGTATGCATTACAGCTCTTAGTACAATTGAAAAAAAAAATACTCTGATTTTTCTATTGAATATTGTCAGTGACTTGGATGTCTTTCTATAGAAGAACTGCATTAAGTATTGTTACAATAAAAGTTGAAAATCTTCTCAAGCCAGTGGAATTTCTTCTAAAGGAAGATTCTATTTTCTCAAGTGATTTATTTAAGATATCATCTGAATGTAAAATTAATTTTTGGAGCACTGGTTAATTTATAGTTCGTTAAAACTAGATGCCCGTTAGGGCTAAAAGTTATAGATCATTCGAAGCACGTTGGATATATATTATCACTAAAACTTTAAGTTGAGTTGGTCTACACTGTAGACTCCAAAGCCACAAGTTGTTCGTTTCAGGTAAGACAGATAGATCAAATCAGAAAAGTTGCCTCCAAGAACTTTTCTGTTCTTAATTTTTTCATTTTATTCACTTTGAAATTTTATTGCTTCTTTCCATGAGTTTATGTGACGATGGAAGTTGTATTATTATAGGAAATTTAATCATTGCGGCTGTCACCGGTGAAAAAACTTATCGGAAATGAATTTTTCCAGGCTTTCGATGTTTCTTCTGACATCCGAGTAGAATAATTGAATCTAAAATCATTCGAGAAATCTTGAAAAACTTTAGCCATCTTGATTGAAACTAGAACTTGTTCATGAGTACGTGTGAAGTAATATCAGGCACTAAGAAATAATAAAATACACTTTATCATCAGGACATTTGTTTTCAGATCACAAAGCAATGTATTCCGCCTCAAAAGACAAAACATCGTTTGTGCGCATGCCCAGACGCGTGCTGTCTTTCTCTACGAGAGAATGTTACTTTCCTAATCTCAAAACAAAACAAACTTTAATTTTGGACGATGAAATAATAAAAAATAGTTTGTTAGCCATGAGAGTAAAATAAAATATCCTTACCTGGGATAACTTTATCCCTACATTCTCATCTTCGATTTGGAATGCAATTCTACATTTAGGTTAGAATATCATACTTTGCTTCCCCGGTTAACAATCTACTATTTTTTTCATTGAAAGTATTTATTTACAATTCTTCTAACGGTTGAAGAAACTTTTATCCAGATAAATCGTTTTTGTCCAGGCTTATTATGCTAATAGCTTGTTAAATTACTTAGTTAATAGTATATTATATGTGCAATCAAAAAGTACGCGCGTTCAGAGCGAAAATAACGTTTTAGATATACGTGTTATGCCTCGGGGAAATCACGAAGAAAATTCGTGCGACAACTACGTGTCAAGTATATCAGCACCATTAAAGTGTTGGTGCATTTACACGATGATTTATGAGTTATTGTATCTTGTGTTATTTATTGACATTCATGTGAAAAATGACTAGAAAATGGTTGTAAGGTTTTAGAACATTTTTAACTGACTCACAAGGATATAAGGCGTCTTCTTGGCAACAGTGACGTGATATTTTATATACTTTTTATGTTGACTTTAACCAGCAATAAATATCAATTATATTACTTTGATGAAATTAATCAACATAACTATGAGAGATTGTTGACATTTTCTGAAGCTAAAAAAACGTCAAATTAAACAGAAAACTCATTTTGTTGTCAACAAGACGTTTTCTTAAATTAGAAATTAATTTCCCGATTAATTAAATTGCTGGGTATAAAATCTTACTGTATAAACAACATTCTTATTTCAGTGTAGACTAAAAATAATTAAAGTGTCAACGTAGTTTGCGGGGTAAATATGTACTGGAATTTTCTCCCATGAAATGTTTTGTTCATTTTAGAATTTCTACGATGGAAAATAGTGAATCATTTACTTTTAAAAGCGGAAATTAATGTACTTTGTAATTGCGGTGTACGAAGACTAACCTATTTATCCAAAATCTAATAGCAAGAATTATATCATGTACATTTATTTGGCATAAAAAATTTCATAAATTAATTACAATATTACTTAATTTCAAACAAGTGTGCATTTCAGAATGATTGTGCACACAGATTACATGCTATTTTATTTTGTGAACAATACTACAGAGGATTTATCTTATTTAATTACTCAGTATTACCAATTGTTCATTAGAGATTAACAATAGCAGTGACACAAATAATGTAACTTTACCAATATTAATTATTCATTCACTCGAATTAATTTATTATAGCTAATGATCCTAATTATATGATAATAGACTTAACGATATTTACTTTGTGTTGAGGTATAATTTACTTAAGAACTCGAGACCAGTTGTTCGATAAATGATTCACAAAATAAACAATTGGAATCAAAAGAAAGCTAAAGTCACCATGTATATATGTGGAGCAAAAGTTTCTCTGTTCGTTTTATTAGAGGACAAAAATTGTGCAAAAATATATATGATCTGATTGAATAATATTTTTCAATTTTGTAATATTTTCTATTCTCCATAATGTTTTTCAAACTTTTTGTAATACTTCTTCTTTACTTTCAATGTTATTTTTGCTTCCCATGGGTTGATCCCACATTTGGAGATATAAATCTATCAGGAATGGTAACGATTTTTGCTCAGTGTCCAGAAAACTCTGATTGCAATGATAAAATTAGTAAATATCAATGTCAAGGTTATGTTATTCATCCAAGTATTGTGCTGACAATTGCAGATTGTGTACCAGAGTAATGTTTTACATTTATTTAATTAAAGTTTATTATTTTTCTGTAAATATTTAAACATCAAATTATTATTTATTCATTGCTAATAATTTACTTAGAAAAAAATATAAAAAGTTGGTAGAGGTACGTGTGTATGATTGGGAAAAATATCCTGATGTAAAAAATGAAACTCCATTTATTGAGAGAAATTTAGCAAAAATAATTCACCACCCATTTTACAATAATTCCGCTGGAGAGTCTAATATATATAATTTGGTAGTGCTAATTCTCGAAAAGCCAATTCATTTAGCAGCTGTAATAGAATTACCTGAGCTTGGACGTAATTACAGTAATGACTGCACTTTAATTCATCTCAAAGGAGATATGACAAAAGGTTTGCAAAAAAATATTAATATTGATTACTTGGTTATTTTTTTTTATCTCAACTAAGAAATTTTATTTCATTTAATGGAACTTAATATTATACAGGTCTCAGTGAACAGAGATATTTCACTGGAATAATAAATGAATCCCATTGTTTTGACTTAATAAATGCAGCAGAATCAAAAAATCGACACAACACTCACAAAAATGTTTTATGTGCTGCAAGTGAAAAAATATTTCCATGTGGAGTAAGTTGAAAGAAAAACTTTAATTAATAAACAATAGCTTAATCTTCAATATTTTTATTAAAAAATAGTTTCAAGTTTATTAAGATTTTTTCTAACTCATCAACAGGGAAGTCGAGGCAACCCTCTTATGTGCTCGTATCTCAATGATGATACACTCCATGTCCTTAGAGGAATTTTAATAAATAGAAGTGAATGTATAACGGAGTATGTAGATATTAAATATGCTGTTGGCTGGATAGTAGATGTAATTAAAAATCATTTTGACTGAATTTTTTCTTATAAATAAATCAAATACATATACATATATATATGTATATATAATTTGCTGATAAAAATCTCAATATTTTTTTTTTTATTATTCTTTCAAAAATTACTAGTTTATATTCCACGTATATTTGGTAGCATATGTGAAATATTAACATAGAAATCTAGGATTATATATTATACCGCAGATAGTGGACGTGCTGAAAATATGCACGATATAAATTTTATCTCACATTATATTCATTGTGTTTAGTTTATTTTCATTTAATCGATTTAATTTAAAAATTATTCGCTGTTACTTCGATCATATTTTATATTTTTTTAACATTTATTACCTTATTCACTTAAAGTCCATGAAACAATATAAAACCTACTTTTTATTTAACTTCAGAAAAGTAAATAAATTAGTTTATTTGTCCTGCCAACACACTCCCAATAAGGGAGGTAACTTCTCACATTATTCTACTGACAGTTTCAACAACTCCAAATGTAACTCGTGTGTGGTCTTTCATAAATGCAGCACATCAAGTGACATACTTAGAATAATTAAACAGAATGTGATATGCTTCTTTTTGTTCTGCTAACTAAGAAGTCAACACAGATAAGCAAACTCTTTAAAAAATTAAAAGTTAAACGAAATTTTTAAATTTATTCTTGATGAGTAAGAAATACATTTTCTATTAATTAATTTTAAAAAATGTTTGAACAGTAAAATCTAGGTTTATCTCCAATGCAAATGGATATTGATTTTCAAAATAAACTTTTTCAATTCCATCATCCTTTCTTAAATATTAAATAATACTCTAACGTTTATTTTCTTTTATTTCCATAGTGTTATCTTGTGGCATATCTACTGAGAATACTAACCCAATTCAGAACATAGTATACAAATGTAAAGAAATAGAAAATGCATTATTCATAAAAGTAACCAACGAAATTTTAATAAATATAAATTCTTATTGTATCTGAGACGTAGTAATATAGACGAATGAACGATGATAATATTTAAGAAAACTGTTTGAAGTTATACAATTTTCATATAAATGATATTTGTTAAATAATATCGATAGAGTTGAGCGAAAAACCAAAAAAAGTGATTGAAAAATAACATGAACCAGGTGAAGGTGCGGAAACTTTGGTCGAACTTACAAAAGAGGGTCTGATGTTTGGTCTTGTAGATTTTGTGATTGGGAAGTCATAACGATTGAGCATCTTCTGTGCTGTAGTCAGAGTAGTGACATTGTAGCTTATATTGAAAGATGGTGTAAGGGTATGAGAGAAGATATGTTAAAAGAATCAGTTCTTACTCTCCTGAACAGAGCTATTGATGAAACAATTTAAAAAGAGCAAGGTTGGAAGTGAAGTAAGGTGTGTTGATTGTAGTCTGTATTTAACACAGTGTACTATATGTTGTATGGAAATTGTAAAAGCTCATATGAGCATGTAATAAAAATAAATATTGTTAATATCGATTTAGTTTAAACAGCATATTACAATAAATGATAACCATTCAATTAAGGATGAAATAATTTGTTTCAGTTGTTTGCGGTGTTGGAGCGGATGTGGCATATCATCGACATATCATGGGTTATTACGTTACGTGAGGATAATTCAACATGCACTTGTAAATCGATTCACGCACTATCACCACGTCCATTCTCATAAAATGCAAAAATATACAACATTTTTGTTGATAACAGTACACGACTCATTCCAAACTGAATATTGAAATATCAAACTGACTAAATCCACTAAATTTTTTTTTTAGTTAAATATGACAATACATTTAAAGCAGCTCATTGGTTTTGTAATCCATATTGTTTACTATTACTCTATATTTTAATACATTAAATATAAAATATAGTATTACTTTTCTTGAATAATTTATCTTATATATTGTTCATCGTTTATTTTAGAGTGGCATCAGCTATGATTTTTTTCCTCGAGATTACTTGGGCTATCACACTCTTCGTCCAGATTTGTTTGAGGTACGTGAGTTGCATTTTATAAACCATGTTAAGATTAAAAAATTTTTAAAGAAAGAAAGGCAATCTAAATGCTATATTAGAATACGCAATATGAATATTGTTCTAAAAATACAAATAATAAGAAAAAACGATTAATATTAAGATAAATATATATCAATACTTTTTGCAGGAACGACGAGACTTATTGTACCCGGTGCTGGGCATCCGTTTTAACTATAACGAAAGGCTGGTATAGAGCTTTGTTCTATCTTCCACTGTCATGTATTTTGGCATGGAAACCACACAACTTGTGGCTCTCCTTTGTTGCTGGTAAGAGAGAAAAAAGCAACAATTCTCCCCGGTAGTTCTTAATCTTCACTCAGACGTTTATTTCCAAGTCTCATAATGAAAAAAAATCTAAATAAAAAATGAAATAAATAGAAAGTCTAAATTAAAATAAAGCACCATGGGAAATTAAGTGTAAGATAATCCTATACATATATTTATTCTTCCTACAGCTGGGCTTTTAGCGGCTTTATCTTTGCTCCATATTATATCATGCTTATTAAGTCGAAAACGTTTTATCCGTCCTGCCAGAGATACTATGGGTGAAAGTCTTTTAAGTACAAGACCGGAATTATATGACCGATTTGAAGAAGTTATAGTAAGTAAATGAATTGTGAAATTAATTATTTCATCATAAATAATTTTATTTACAAATAAAACTCATTGAGATTGTTGGAGTTTTACACAATAATTAAAATTCTAAATTAAAGAAAAGTTTCTTCACGACTAACTTACCAAAAATTCTTTAGTTCTTCATATAGACTCAGCTAAAACCTCTTTTAACTTTTAAACTCCTCAAATTCCAACAAAAAATATTCTCTAGCTGAAGATGCTTTTCGTCTTGAAGTCACGAAGGCCCTAGTTTTTGTCACAAGCATCAAACTCGTTAATAAGTCCTTCCTCCTAGAACCATTTTCATAAGTTAATTGTAAACTTTACGATTAATAAATGAATAGTGTTTGTAATTAAGTTTGAAATTGTAGTAAAGTTAATTAAGAAATAAGTTTAGATTACATCAAAATATAATAGACAGGACAACAAAAAAAGAAAATGGATTAACTCAAAATAAGAGTAAAAAATAAGATAATTTAGACATTGAAATAAACATTTTAAATTCGTTGATACCTAATTGATAATATAATCTATTTTGTCAATATTGAACACACCAAACAAAATTATTTCCAGGTATCTGAAGTGTTGGATGACGGGATTTCCGGTCCAATTGGTCGACCAGGAGACAGCGATGCAGAAATATGACATGAACGTCAGCCCTCATGGGCAAGTGAAACAGATGAAGATAGTGAACCTGAGCAAAGGACTTGCCAGATTGCCACTTTATCCTAGTTAGAACTAAACGATGTAGACACATCGATTTTAACATCGTACTCAAGGCTACCTTCAAATTATCAATGTGTAGCAAAAGAAGCGAGTAATGAAGGTGCCTTAAGATTACAAGTACGAAGTTTACATGTCGATAGTTCTCAAAACTCCTACAAAATTGTCAATTGAGTATAAAAATATACCAGCCCAGTAATTTGGAAGATGAAGGCGAAATTTTTTACAATAAAAATTCAAATATGTGAATATTGATAAAACTATAAGATACTTAATAATAACGAAAAAAAAAAAGATGACAAAGAGAATACTTTTCTCTTTGGTGAAGCAGAAAAACATTTATTGTATGGCAATTTTATACGTAACATTGGATAAAAGTAATAATCATAATAGATATAATAGTTAGGCAATGTATACTCCATTAAAATATTGACATAATGAACTATAAAATTTCAATTGCTATTATTGTATATTATAATATATTATGTGGTATGAATAATGTATTGAATAAGCTATTAAATTATTAAGTTTCTGGAGAAATACTGTAATTATATTATTATAAAATAAAAGAATTATAAAATTAGTGACTCTAATTATTGAATTTATAGATCAAACAATAAATTGTACTATTTATTTTTAATAACGTTAAATTATTAAATAGTTCTTCTATTATTAGGATAATTCAAGTACTGTGTATACACAATTATATTATAAATAAAATCTGATGGTGTTTCGATTGTACAATTTGTTCAATTATAATAAATATATAACTTCACAAGTCACAGTTATTTAGTTAAGTCAAGCAAAAAGCGTATTATTGCCATTTGAATATTGTCACAGACATTTTGAATATAATTGGCACTGTAATTTCATTAAATTACATCCAGGTTTTCCAGCAATCCTAATTCTTGAGAAATAAAAAATTTTCTATATCGTGTTCCTAAGTCCTAAAATTTTATTATTTCATAGAATTGTCTATAATTCAATCTGTTGATAAGAAATCACTTTTTACATCTAGTAATGACTCTGTATTCTTTGGCCAAAAACTGAGTTTATCTAAAATTTTCATAAATAATGGATTTCCGCCCAGTCTTTCGACTTCTTTCCTTGCTTTCTTATCTAGATCTTCTAGAACAGACCTTGTGTAGACAAATGATCCAAACTTCTCCAATAAACTGACACAATATTTTTTTACTTCTACGTCAGTAGTTCTTTTACGTAAAATATCTATTTTATTATTAAGAAAAATCTGTTAGTGGTTTATGATCAAAATTATCTTGTTTATAAAAATAGATAAGTGATGGTCAAATCTACTGGAATGAATATTATTTTAAATACCTATGCATTATCAAGTCATCAAGTAAAAATGTATAATAAATAAATTATTTAAAAGGATACTTATTACTTGACAATCCTCAGGATGTGTTTGTATTGCATGGATTATTGGAAAACTAAATTTCCCTTCAGATAAGTCCTCACAAAAACTTTTACTATCCGAATACTGTAATGTGAAAATTTATTTGCGATTAAGATAACGCATTGGACTAATAATACATGGCAAGAAAAATTCCGGAAAAATTATTATTTAATTTAATTTAAAAAAAATAAATAGACTAAAAAAGTTTAAATTACCAACTGAAAATCAGAACATTAATCATTTTTATAAAATTGCATTCATGTCAAATTTTATCATATAACTTATGAAAAATTTACCTCTTGCATAACTAAATTACAGTAGTCATCTCTTATTTGAAAATATAATCCTAAAATACCAGATAACACTGAAAAGTCTTCCTTACAATCTGAGAACAACTGCATGAGCCTTATGACTAAATTAAAAAGGCCACCTGTCTCTGAAATAAGAATTAGATAATGTAAATAAGCAATTGAGATTAAATAAAATAATTTTTCTTATTACTTCTTAATGTCATATCTCTGTAATCATCTTCAGTGGGACAGAGGTAGTTATCTCGCCAGTAAAGTTCAAGACCTTGACCCCTGTGAAGCTCTAATAGCTGCTCAGTGAAAATTTTTGAAGCCTAGGAGCGAATAATCACTAGAATAGGGTCACTTTTCGTTGACTATAGACTTAATCTGCGACCCCAATGAAATTCACGTACCTCCGGATGATTCAAAGCTATAACACGCTCGAGAGCAATAAATATCCCATAATTCGCTGCATTAATTGTACTTGCAATTCCATAAATTGAATGAGCTACTGGAATGCCTCGTCGTAAAACTGAATTATCCTGAATGTCATCTAATCTGTAGAAATATTTTATTTTTCAATATTACTTCTATTTTATAAATTTCTTTGAATTAAGAATTTCTTTACCTACGTGTGCGTGGTGTGATTATATTTGTGTGTAATTAACAGAATTAGAAAAATATCATTATTACAAAAGTAAAGGTAAAAATTTTTATGATTAACTAATAGCAAGAAAATACAAAGAAGTTGCTATTTCCCAGACTTACAAGAGGCTTGAAGTATGAAGTATCTGTACAAGTTCACCAATCGCATTCATTTTAGTATCTGGAATTTTCAACCAACAGTTCATAGCATGTGCTAATGCAGCCCTTATTTGTTTACCAGGAACTTGAAGGATATAAATAAAAGGTTGAAGTAATTTCTGCAAATTAAACATTATCATTATCATTTTGTATTACAAAAATTTTATATTATTATCGGTATTGAAGATTAATCCGATAATAATGTTTCATTGATATTCAATAAATAAATTTAATTTAAATACTACACGAAAAAATCACGTAGTATTGCATTTAGTTATCACTTAAAAATACTGATTATTTACATTATCTTGGAAAACATGAATGATATATTATTTTAATATCAGTTAAACATTGACGATAAATGGAATTAATTATTAAAAATTATATAACGTTAAATGATAGCACTTTATCGATCGTCAAAGAAAACAATAATTAAATATGAATTGAGTTTTTTTGTAACTGATAAAGAAAATTAACACTTTAATTATTCTATTTCTTTGTTACAATACTTAAACGATAATTCATATATGCAAAAATGATAAAAAATAATTGATTTTGTTGAAAAATTGTTTATGTTATAAATTATTATACCATAATAATAAAATACTAACCTCATCCTGTTCTTTATCTCCACTAAACGAGTACGGTATAGATTTTTTAACTGATTCCATAACTTTTTAGAAACAATTGCTTATAATTTTATAAAAATTTACAATTCACAATGAATTGTTATCAAAGTTTGCCTTTAATTATAATTCCGGTTATGTACACTTGACATTAGTCAAATGACATGTAAACGAGTATGATGGTCGTGTTAGAATAACATGAATACGAAAGAAAAATATACACGATACTCGCGGCAATGCAGTAATCTTATGGCGAGTTTATATCAAGCTACCAACTGTGTAATACTCATGAATTAACGATTTTTCCAAGTAGTGGTGAAAACGGGACATAAAGTGGTGATGTTTTATTGGCCTTTTATTCATTTATTGCTAATAAGTGGTGTCAGTAATAGCAGATAAGGATAAAAATAATTCTTTTCTTTTTCAATGTTCTCAAACAATCAAGATACTAATTAAATCTCGTATTATTTATGTTTCAAAATTAATTAGGTATTCTTATCATAATTGGTTGTTTAATCTATCCACATTCAATATCTATTATGTCTTATTTTTGTTCCATACAAACACGCATTACTCCAAATTTTATCCAAGTTGTGATTCAACACTGAAAATCATTCCGGTATCAATTCCTTATTTATCAACGAATGAATAAAATTCAAGTCAAGTCACCTCTGCCTGTAACTCTGTATGACTTTTTAGCATTCATGTTGACCACTGGAGGTTCAAATTCTTTGAATTTCTGAACTACAACCGTCAATATACAAATGTAGCATACCCTTTACCGGTATAGCAATATTAGTCCTTTAAAATGATGATACATTGAATCCAGTCCAGATTAAAGAAGATCACTCATCATGAGATATTGTCTAAGTATATAATTTTTCTCCATTTTCATAAATACATTGAATGTTTTCATAAATGTAAAATAGTGTACTTTTATATTTTGACAGGTGAAACTAAAAAAAATTAACCTATTCATTTTATATTGAAAATTTTTTATATCAAACAAGACTGATATATTGTTCTGTACCCTTTAATATGGCGCAATATACCACTGAATTTTATATTAATACAGTCATAAATTGGAATGGTATTAATTATAAAATCAACCTACATACTCATCTAGAAAACATTTTACTGTGATAGTAAAACCAATTTGACATAGTTGATGAAAAATATTCTATTAAACCAGATTAATTGATATCAACATCTCTTGTTTAAGTCAATCTATTCAGTTGCCCGGTACGATTAAACATGAATTTGATCTTAATTAATCCTAAAGGAAGATGATGACCTGGATAACGTGATAGGAAAGGTAATGTTGAACCATTATTTAAATGACTTATGGTATAGCAATTTATCCTCTATAGATTCTGGCATCAGAATGTAATATCCCTCGTAGAATACCTCTAGTACAGAAGCCACAGTTTTCACCCTATAAAATGATTTAAAATGACATTTCGTTATTTGCTTCCGTTTATTTCGCTTCATTTTTTCAGCCATTTGTAATTGGGTATTTGCGAAGCCTGGTCAAATGCAATAAAGCTTTTCTAGGTAAAATCCCTGGAAAGAAACCAATGCAAGGAAGAAGAGATGATGGAGGGGAGAGAAACGAAATGAGTGACTCGAGATTCACTTACTTTCCACTCCCTGCATTCTGTTATTCTCTTTTCCATCTTCTAACTCTTACTATTTTGTTTTCTCTCCCTCATCAGAGTCTAGTCTCTTAGTAAATGCGGAAGCGCGCAAGCCCCAGATCGATCGTCTATTGCCATGGTTACGCCTCCTCTCTCTTGTACAGGCGTACGACTACCTCGTCCTCACGGCAAGTCCGCACGGGCGAAATCCACCCCCAAAAAAGCACGTCGAGCATCGGATCTGGACCATCGACGTTGCGATCCCAAGTTAACCTTTCTTGTTTACTTCAGTCAACGTTTTAATTGGATATTATTTTATTTTCAGTGTGTGTTAATTGCAAGTGTAAATAAAAAATACGCTAATCTGGTCAGTGGAGTAAACGGAAACGGAAAGCAAAAAGAACAAAAGAAAAGGTGGCGCACGGGCGCATCGCAGAAGAGGGATATTGACATTTTGGGCTAGGGGCGCTGTTGGGTTTCAAGTCTGCCCTGATCCTTTCTCCTGGAGTATCCATGGCTACGCTCCGAATAATTCCGCGCGAAACCGGCGCGCGAATAAGTCGACAAATGCAAGAATAAACGAGTGATAAAATACGACCAAAAGTGAAGCAAAAAGCGGTGAGTGGATTCCTTTAACTTACCTTTATTATTGGTGTTGATACGCGGAGTGAAACATTGTGGTTTTGATAGAAGAAAAGAGTGGCATCTCTCTCTCTTTCTCCTAGTCTATCGCTCCACCCTTGTTGTCCCTTTGCCCCGCTTCTCCTCATCTCGTGTGCTTTGCTCTCTTTTTCATCTTCGTACCTTCTATTCATCTTCATACCTCTTTCACCTGTTTTCCTCTACCTTTGTTATTGTACATCATTATAAAGGTGATGTGTTAATTGTGAATTTACCACGCGAGGATGTTGATGACTGTAAGTTATTTACTCCTTGCTACGTGCTCTAAAATGTTTCTTTTTTTTTGCAACAATTAAATAACTACTTCACAATTGTTGATGAAAAATGTGACAATTGGAGAGGATATATTAGACTACAACGTACAGAAATAGGAAGTAGTTCTATTTTTGAACTACCTTCATCTCATATATTTAGTCTTTTCTTCGTTTCTCTTCGCTTCTTTCTCGAGTAAACGGTCCACAAGAGGTCATCGTGAGGAAGCGAACATTGACACTTCAGTTTGAGACTTGCGTAAATTGCATCGAATGGTGAAACGATTTTTGTTTAAACATGAACAGGGATTTAGTGCAATTTATGTTTTTACCGTGTAATTATTTTGTAGGCATTTTATCTCTATCTATTGCTTTTTGCCTTCCCTTCCTCCAACCTTCTCTATCTTATTTTTTGTATTGGGCGTCGTCGTTCGAGTGAATGTGATGCACCCTCTATACATATATACATACGTACATGTATACATATATACTGTCCATACATATACACAGATGCATTTTCAGGAGTCGTTGGCATCCATTTTTACTGTACATATGTTTAATTTAAAATCAACTCACAAAATGATGCCTTTTTTCCATTGATTCAATAACAAAAACACAATGAACTTAATTAGATGAATTTGTTAAGTTACTAGAAAAAAACAAATCAGTATCTTAATTAGAAACATAAGAAATTTAAATAATTCATAACAATGTGATGGTAAATATATTCAAAAATATTTTTAGATATGTCTTGTATTATCAGTTAAATAATTATTGAAAAATTTTCAGGATCAAATGTCATGCTGATAAAAATGCATCCAAGGAATATTTAGAAAGCTGAAGAAGTAGTGGAGATGAATAAAAAATGTTAGTGAATATTGAATTGATAAAAATGGTGAAATTGAAACAATATTGAACAAGTTAAATGGAATTTGAAATTTTTTATCAAATAAGAGAAACTTAAGGGTATTGCAATTTTCATTGACAAAAAGGGGGACAGGTGAACGCATTGGGAGTTAAGATCGATATAGCGTTTAGGGAGCTCGTTTCACCCACGCGTACAACCCGAGTGCACCTACTTCGCCCTAGTCTAGTAATCGGAATCCCGAGAGTGTGTTAGAGAAAGAGAAACTGAGTGCTTTGATCCTACACCCTGTTTCCAATATTTAAAAAGTTAGTGTCCACGTTTCAGTCTTGTATTGATATTTCTATCAAATATTATTTCAACTTTTCTAAAATAGAGTTTACTTTTTATTTACTTTCATTAAAGTGTCATTATTTCATGGTTCTCATTGTGTTTCTAATGTCAATAGATAAACAAAGCTAATAACCACCTTCGTGTCACGAAATGTAAAGTGTGATAATTATATTATTAGTACCAATTACGATAAGGTTTATATTATATTTTATCATGAATCATCTGTTATCGCTACTCGTACCACTTGTTTTCTAAGAATTGAATAACTTGTAGCTAAATTATCTCGGAATTCGGATAATTCCCTAATGTTAAATGTTTGTAATATTCTTTATTAATCAAAGCTGTTCTAATTTAATGATATAGATCTAACATGCTACAATTATTGATGATTAATGTACAGCAGTTAGTTTATAAAAATATTAATTGAACAAAATATTTGACATTGATTTTTTTTTGGTTGTTACTTTTGGAAAATGAATCAATGATCATCATTTTGAACTGTGAATATTCACTGATTTATTTTTATAGAATAGATTCAATATTTAATCATAAAAATAATCTAATCAATGTATAAAACTATGTTGCATGTTTTTATTTGCGTTTTACATCGGTTTTTGCGAATTTTTTTCCAATCTATTTCACGTATTTTTGGCTTGAATATTCTTGTGAATAAATGAAAAAGCAATAGAGGAAGACTTACAAACAAAAAGAAAGAAAAATGAGATCCAATGCAGTTGCTATGATAGTCCTGCGGATTTGGACAGAGATTTGCAGTAGTGTATATGTACATGAAATGATCAAAAATGATATTTGTAATTTTGAATTGTTTCACTAAATGTCTACTCGAGTATATCTATTACATTAATATTATTAATTTTATAATAACTTAGTAACTAGTAAATATTATGAATTATCAATTAACATTTCTCCTTCATATTTTAAACTTTGCACGTGGTATTGTAACTATTTATAGTTAGGTCAATTTTCAGATTTAACTATTAATAAGGATAGTTGTGTCATAGTAATAAGAAAAAAATAACGTTCTATCACCCAATGTAACTTGGATGCTATCTATTTTCGTAGGCTTTTATATATGTAGATTTTTTTACTCATTATGTATTTATCTAGAAATGTCTATGAATACAAACTGTCATAATTTCTGTAACATTAGGAAATCTAGTCAATGTCACCGGTAACTTATAATGTGCCTTGCGATTTCATTATATACTTTCGCTATAAGTCACACTTTTGCAGCAGGTTTTTATTGACCGTTGCCGTGAGCACACAAGCATAAAAGAGTCTGACTAGACGGGGAATGCTCTACTTCCTTTTTGACGCGTTACTACTGAATTAAATACTCGAGTAGATATAAAATATTTTCATCGATAACTTTTAAAATATAGTAATGCTGTATACATTTTGGTTTATTGGCTATTAGAAATTTTTACTCTCAAAAAATTGGTTCAATTAAGTGAATGAAAAATATATTGTTATAAAACTTATTAGATAAAAAATGATCAATTTTAAGATAAGTTTTAATGTAGGTATTTTTTTTATTGTAGTAATCATGCAACGGAGAAGCTGATAGCCACCGTCGCTAGCAATGATGTGACAATAAAGATACCTCTGTTTCTTCTCCGATCGGAAACTATAACCGATCTTCTGTAATTCTCAGTGCTTCCGAATACTAAAACAATTACCTAATTTACAAGGAAACATCAAGAAACATTGATTCATTTACGGGCTGGAAACTTAATGAATTGTTCTTCAAACTGGTGCCAAAGAAACGTAAATGAAATTCAAAAACAAAAGTCAAAAACTATCTTAGAAACCAAAGAGCCAAATAAATTGTGTCAAAGAGTTAAGACATTGAGAGAAGAAAGACTAACAATAAGTTGATTTCAAGACGTGAAATCAATAAGTATTTGTGAAAAACAAAATTTCATCATTAAGAATAAAAAATAAACCAAAATGGGCAATAAATTGTCAGCATGTAGCTGTGCACCTTTATCAAAAAGAGGCTATCGTGATGAAGATTCACCTTGGCAAATTGGTGGGCGAACTGGAATGACTCAAGGTGGTGGTCACAGAGGAGATTCTGGTCACATTCTCAGGTGCGGAAGCGTAATAGAGAAGAGGTGCGCAATCATTTCATTCGTGCATATACATCCAATCACTTTCAAATTTTTCGATGTTAACAGCACACCCTTCAATATATAATTATTGAACTTGTGGACACCTTGCTACACGCGGTTCTTCCGCACATGTTTCCTCTCTTTTTATTCTTTTTAAATATACCCCAGTGTTTCATGTCGTATACGCTGCAACGGAAGTCAAGTAATATCAATGTCTTTTTTTCAAATTATGACATCAGAGTTTCTTTCTTTTTATCTATAAATAAATACAACAGCAATCAAGTTGTATCATATTTTGAAATTTTTCAATATCGTATCAAAATCCAATTATATTAAACTTCTTCTTATGTTTATCATGATTGGTGATTATTTATTTTAAATAGATAATATTAACGAAATTAATTTATTGTTAACAATATTATCTGTGACCATGGGTTATTATTTCATTAAATCATGCACATTTATGCACATTCCATCGTATTCTATTTTTGTAACTCTGTGTGTTTGTATTGTAATTGATTTATTATTGATATTGAAACTTTGCAAAATTTATTTTTGAAAGATTTTATTTAATTTTTTATTGAATTATTAACTGCATGTGCATTTGAAGCAATTAATTATAATTCCTTTGATGAGATACCTATTTTTTGTGTGAGCTTCTTTTCTTTATTATGTAAAATACCATGATTGACATGATTATGAGTGCTTTTAGATTGTGGGCGGAAGTTTTTCACGTGAGTGGAAGTGCTGGAGCTGTTAAGTGGCAGCGAATCTCTGAAGATCTTGTTCCTGTAAACATACGATGTCTTCAAGATTCACCTGAAATGGTCTTCCATATTACCGCTTACAATAGTCAAGTTGATAAAATTCTAGATGTACGACTGGTACAACCTGGTAAAGTATACTTACTTATTATTTCAATATCTAAAATTGATCATAAATTAGTTACTTATTTTTTAAAATGATGTCAATGATACTAATAAATATTATTCATCAATGAATATTATAAAGGTACGAGACTTATTCAGCTATCAGATTTCTTTATCTACTGGAAGGACACAATGACTAATGACACGTGGGGTCTCAACTTTACCGCTGCGATTGATGCCACACAGTTCAAAGACTGCTGCGTAAGTATCCCTTTAGTCTCGATTTATCAGATATCTACCTGATGTAAATTAATTGAAAACATAGCTTCATAGATGACATTTATCCGGTTCGATGATTGACATTTTATCTTTGGCCTTTTCAGTCACGCTCAACGAAGACACCCAGGAAGGCTCCTTCCTCATATTCCCTCAAGTTGGAAGCGCCCAACAAGCAAAAGGTCAAACCCCGTATAAAACCACTTTCAACGCCTGCTTCACCTAGTAGATCCAAACCTCCTCAGTGCACATGCATGGGACCTGAACAGTTGTCAAGATTCAATCGCAGTCGTGATCAGAGATTTTCTGGTCCTTGCAGTAAGTTATTGTCACTAAACATTGAATACAGTTGAGAAGAAAGAATTAGTGTTTAAATGTGATTCAATATCGTGATCGTAATAATAAAAAATTAAATATTAAGTTCATTTAAACTAATACCTTAAACTACAAATAGTGTTGATAGGAAGTTGATACAAAGATAATTAAATGTCGTTGTGATAGAAGGATGATATATTTTTCGACGTTTGATGTGCAATTAAATACAGTTAATGTTTAAAATAAATGATCAACTAGTCAGTTAATTTACTTTGGTGCAAAAATTAGTTCATCTAAAAGTCATAGATAAATTTGTAAATTTAGATCATTCAAACGACAGTTATTTTTTGCTGGTTACTTTTTATGATTTAATGTTTTAATAGTGACGTATAATATCGTTTACATAAAATTATTTATAATCTTATGCCTCACTTAAAATGTCTCTATTAAGATTAAAAAGGTTAATTCTATAAAGAATAATTTTTTGTTCGGATAGTAACAGTGAGATTAAATTAACTTGTAATAGAATATCAATAACGACGATAGTTATTTAATATTTTATTATTAATAATGAAGATCAAATACTTTTACAATCGAAAAAAATATAAATAATAAATTTCAAAAGATAATTTACTGATAAAGTTTTTGATACTAAAATATTTTTCTACGTAAGAATAAGTTTTCTTATACTAAGGGAGTAAACCTTTTTTACGGTACACTGGAAAGACTCCTTGTTTATAAATGCTAATGAATGCTCATTGGAGGATTATTAGTTCTAAGTAATGCTTATGTATCTGTTCACCATTTTTTATGCTTCATGTAATATTGATGGGTAATAGAAAAATGTTTGGCGCAGGCGCTTCAACACTACCAAGAAGTATGAACCGTTCTTCAGATGTAGAGATGACACCAGGACGTGACAAAATGATGAGTGCGTTATCGAATACATCGCTATACGATAATGTTAATGGTACTATCAAAACATCTAGTAAAATGCCCAGTTCTGATGATTCATCTAAACAGAAGGATAAACAGGGAAATGAAACGGGTCAACAAACGAAAACTGTTAATGTTGGCACGGGTACAGCTACGGTTGGATCTCAGGTATGATTCAGGCTTCATCGAATTACACTCAAGAATAGGACTACATTAATTAAATGTACATTTTATTCATATTTTACTTTTCATTTATTAATTATTCAAAACAATTTTTTTTTCCTTAAATAATCTTCGAAAAATATTTTACAAAACAAAACAATTATATTTCATCAACTAATTTATAAATTGATAATAATGCAGATTGACAGTCCTGACGATAAAGGAACATCCATTTCTCCAAATAAATCACTTAAACGTCAAGACAGTGCGACTCAGCAGAATGGAAATGAACGAGAAACTTTAAAATCTGAAAGTACACAAGCAGGAGGAACTTTAGGCGGTAAATCATTACGAAAAGAACAGTTACATCATACTAAATCGGCTGATTACACAGAACTTGAATTGCAAAATGGAAATTATTTCAATATTGTCAACAACAATCATAGTGGCCGAAAATCTCGAAGTAAAAGTACAGATGATATGAGAATTGAAAATTCTCAAAATAGTGCTGTTAATATTGATTCAAATACACTGAAAAAAATGCTCAAACCAATGTCAAGTATCGACAGCCCAGCTACTTCGCCTGAAATGACTCGAAAACGTCATAGTCACAGTTATCATTATCATCCCAGTAATAATAATCAAAAGTATATTCAACCAGAAGTGGACAATGAACATTATGCTCATCCTTACAGAAGTCCATATAATAATAAATTTCAAGGATCCAGAAGTGTTCATGATATGGGCCGTCAATATCCTGGTATATTTTTTATTTACTTAATGTCACACATTACCAACACATTCATTTTATAGTATTTATATTTAATCAAATCTAGAAACTATCAGTCTTGTAAGGGAATAGAATGATTTTGGCTATTTAGAGTTTAGATTTATGCACATGCACGGGTTTTTTATATAGATTGTTTAAAAATTAGACTTTTTATTGTATATAATGATGCATGCTGCAGAAATCAATTGCTAGCAGTGCATTGATTCATTTGTCATTCATCTTTTTAAAAATTACTTGTACACGAAGAGAAATTTTTCACTAAATGTGAGTACAAGTGACAAGTCCACGTTTCGAAGTAAAAATATTTTTATTCGATAGTAAATTTTGAGTTGTAAGTTAACTTGATACTTAAGAGGTGTCTTAGTAAAATAATTACTTAGGATAATTCAAAAATTACTTATAACAGCCCAAAATTCACTGTTGAATAGAAATATGTATACTTCTATTATTCCAAAAGATCATTTATCATTTTTTATTTACGGTTAGTGTAAAAATTCTCACCGTGTAAACAAATAATAGATTAATATTTTGATTAATGATGCAAATACTTCATAAATTTAAGAAAGTTATATTGACATAATATAAAAGATAAAGATTCTCATTAGTTTACATAAAAGATATCAATTTATTTGTTAACATCATTAACATAAAAATAATTTTCGACTTAAATCAGTTGATAGTATTTTTAAAATATTTTTTACATTTTATATACTACAAAAAGTGAACTCTCATAAAAACATTGAATGTATTCATTCAATTCATATTTTTTCATTCTCACAAGTTTTCATTTCAGTCGTAGCTATAGATCATTAACCAAACTATTTCCTAATTTCACTTACTGCATTGAAATTGGAATTTTTCAAAAATAATGAAGATAAAATATTTTACGTTGACTTATTCAAAAGTCAGTCTGTGATAATAATTAAAAATTTAGTGTTATCAATGACTTATTCTGGATAGTGAATGAAATTAGAGAAATTTAGATGACCTGCTGCACCATTTCCAAGTATTTGCACGTGGTATATCTGCTCTGTCTTAGGCGGCAGAGGCAGGATGTACTTAGATTTGGAACATAATCGGTGCACAGGTGACATGTCTCCACCATCAGACAATGTTATCTTCGACAATCAGTGCTATGCAACGACGCCAAGTTCATCTAATGGTAATTCAGATATGGAACAACCCAACCACTGCAACTCACGTCGGTGTAATGGCCAGACATATCAGCAGCAGCAGCAACAGCAGAACATGCAGTCCATGCCAACACCTGGCAGCCCAACCAGTCGATTGCTTTTGGAGTATGAAATGCATTTGAGGAACACTTTGGCCAAAGGAATGGATGCAGAGAGCTATAGCCTTCATACTTTCGAAGCACTTTTATCCCAGAGCATGGAAAATCTAGGTAAAAAGTAACTTCTTTTTATTCCTAAATCAAATTTTATTATTTTTTTATTACTTCTATTATCTTTTATTAAAGATAATTTTTTTTATTCTATCGGTGAATGGTACCATAGATGAAAAACCTCCAGGTATACAATTAATCTTTTGTGATTTTGATCACAAGTACACAAATTTTATACCAATTTAAATAGAGAATTTAGTTATCTGTTGTCGTTTAATTAATGAACCAGTTATGTAATCAGATTGAATTTTATTAAAATATTTTTTATTTATATCATTTAAATATTATTTTATTCTTTGACTGGAAATAAATTTAACATATTCCAAGTATCATCGCTTTTGCTTCTACATTCTTCATATTTTTATCCACATTTATATAATTAAATAATTTTTGTTGTAATTAAGCATGATTGATAAGTTATTTATTTCCTTTTAAATAATTATTATTAAATCTTTTTATTATGAGTTTTTATTCAACATCTTTTTCACCGTATTTATAGTTAACTATTTTCATATAATAAGCATTTTATGATAAAAGTTTTCTCAAGCATTTATTCCCTTAATTATATGAAAAATATTATAAATATTAATTAATAATTCATTATTAATTGAACTTTTTTAGAATTTGCGGAAAATATCCCCATAAATGTTCAACGTTCATCTCATCCATCGCGCAGGCGTGAGTATTATAATATTTGCTTTAACTTTGAAAATAAACTCTTATCAAGTCAGTAATTAATCGTAGTATCGGTAATGAGCTTTTCTCGTAAAGAAAGAGCTTCGTGTTACATAGAATTCAAGTCTCCATCACGTGTTACATGCAAAATATTTGCTGAATATGAACGCACTTGTTTTGATGATTATACTTTCAATGAAGCTGATAGAAATAATGTAACTAATATTTCTGCTACAGGTTCAAACTCAAGCAAATCTTCAACTCTACCACTCTCATATCGATACTGCAATGAAAGACAAAACAGCAAGGATCGTGATGGTTACTACAGTGATCGGAATGAAATAATTCGAGAAAAAAGAGAACGTGATGCAGAAAGAGAACGTGGATATCTCAGTGATTATAATTCAAAATATGATTCAAAGTAAGAGATTAACTATTTTTATATTTTATAGCTATCATCATATATCTGTAGCATTCAATGTTTATTGCTTACATTAATAGGGCGAAGTTGCTTACTTGTACCCCCTACTGCCTAAGTCGTATTTAAAATGAGGAGTCTGAAACGAAATAACAAATATATAGAATAATGTAACGAAAATGTTATGATAACTACCAATATGTTCGTTCCATTGTTACTTACTTGCACGACTTAAATAGTTGAATTGGAAATTGCTCGATGTCATTTTTTACAAGATCAGATATTAGTGGAGTATGACTGAGGCGGTGATACGATAAAAGCGACTTTACAGCTTAGAGAATGTGAAATAATTGATAAATGAACTCATTTATTCCAAGAGGGTTTTTCATTAAATAAAACGTTAATGTCTGTGAAATATTTGCAGCCGGTGTTCTACATGCTTTGGTGAATCCGCTAGAGCCCAGTGGTTTCGACATTCTGATGGATGGCAATCTGGTAGTTCAACTTTAGGATCTCAAACATCGAATTCTGTATATTTTGGATATGGAGGACATAAAAGAGAATCTCCTTGGGATTCTTTACCTTCGTTACGTCATGAAGGAAGCCTTAACGATAGTGGATATAAATCCAATCGAACAGATTCGTTAGAGCAACGGTGAGAATAATTAATTATATACATGTATGCATTTAATTGTACGATAAATTTTTAATTTAATTTTTATCATAATTATTTTAGCGGTACCTTTGACCGACAAGATAGTGTGAGATCAGATTACTTATCTGATAGAGAGAGTAGGTACGGAATTGTGCAACAAGCATCATTGGAGAGTACCGATTCAAGACAATGCTACTTGACTTCATCAGAGGTAAGTGCCTATTGACCTCATCAAATACATTATTGAAATTTTGGTTCAAAATTTCTTTTTGATACTCGATAGCTATTGTACTTGTATATTATAGTTTATTCAATTTTCTCAGGAATGATTTCGATTTTTATAAAAAAAAATTTTCTAAAAAAAATCCTTTGTTGTTATAACCATTATAAAGACGTTGAAGTAAAAAAAAACTAATAATAACTGCAGAGATATTAAAAATAGATAACTTCTATGGATAAAAAAATTCAAGAATTTTTTAACAATTTAAAGTAGTTCTTGACATTCTAGAATGAAAGATATACTGGTAATATAGCCTCAAATCTATTTTTGCAACTGGACTAAAGAAAAATATCAATAACCTATTAACCTCATGTTAGAAAAAGTTTTTGAAGAATACAAAGTAGCAACAGTGGAAAATTGAAATGCCTATTCATATTTTATATTTCAATAATGTAAATTTACAGTTCACTATACCTAAAGTTCAATATTGTAAACCTATGTGAACTTTTTTCCTGACAACATCAAAGGATCATCGTGAAACTGAAAAATAAAAAGAAATTATTACAGCTGAAAGAAAAAAAAAACGACCAATAGATAAACTATTTGATTCTATTATTCCGAAGCTCCAAATAAAATATTCGTAGAATGAAAAAGAAATAGAGTAGCAAAAAGTCCTTTCTTCTTAAAATAATAAAGCTTAATTACCTTTTAATTATTTCCGTAATTTGTTAGGTTGACATTTTAATTAAAATTTAATATAAAAGTCAAGCATATAAATACGTAATTCTCTTAGATCGTTTTGATAATGAATTCATAAAAAATTCATTAAAAACGTCTGGCAATTGTTTCCTTGAAAATATTTCCATGTCAATCAATTATATAATTTGTCTAAAAATGAAAATGATAAAATGTGAACATGGAAAAAAACATTTTTATTATTATTTATTCTTTGAACCATTAAAAGAATCAAAGAGTTTAAATAGTTCCACCTTTGAAGCGTTTTAAAAGCTAAAGCTGTAATATTTGCTGACGACATCCCTCGTTTATCCATCCTTCTGTGTTTATTTCTTCTAGAACTTTTTTTTCGCATCACATCCTTTTTCCTTCACGCTGCATTTTTCCTATATAACCTTTCCTAGGTTTATCTATCGTGCAGTGAGACAGAAATAGGGGTGAAGTCGACGCTGCCAACAGTTGGTGGCGCGTTGCAGTAATTTTAGGATATGAAAGGGGGGATGAATAGAGTGAATTTAATGCGCATGTGTTCTGGGAGCTGGAGTTTCCTCAAATATAAACCTCCAACGTCTCTTCCACCGTTGTTGCAACGGTATTGATTGTCATTAGAAGGTAGTACTGAGCGCCAGAGCGACCCATCTATTGCTTCTTTTCTAGCGCAGTCTGGAGCAAAACACGATCGCGGCTGGAAAGAAACTTTTATGAGCAAGCGCTGTTGATGTGTTTGTTCTCATGTTCTTTTCTCTTGTGCCTCTGCTTACTTCTCGATTCGTTTTAACACGCGTAGTGTACTTTTGAAAATGCTGAGAATAAAAAGAGTTAAGGAAATTATTTACAGAACTTGTCATTAAACTAGATATTTCAAGACTTTGAGATAAATAAAAAAAAAATAACCTATAAAACGTCTGTAAAGATGATTGAACAATTTGATATTTCGTACCAGTGAGTGACGCTGTTGATATCTGGAAAAAACTTTGTGACGAATTTCTTCAGTAGTTGATAGAATTATGTTCTTGTTTTATTGAAAGAAAAAAAAAGGAATCAAATTAAGAAAGCAATTACGTAGATAGCCCACTTGATTTAAAGAAAGATTTTTCGTAATGGCTACTTCATGGACTTGTTAAACAATAACTTAACAAGTTGCCTCGAAGATTGGCACGCGGTCGACGTCCAGATATTTGCTGCGTGTGGACGTCGACCGTTAAAGATCCACAAAGGAGAACGCGGCTTGACTTGCGCCGTAAAATACTACTAGTGACTTATTGAAAAAGTTTTATTGTAAAAAAAAAAATTAGAACATTACTGTGATGCAGACAAGTGATTAAGATAAATAAAAAAAAATTATTCAATAATATGAGATATATTTCAATACACATATTCTTTTAATAATTGGCGCGATGTAAAACGTCAAAAGAACTAGCAAAATGCTGGTATGTTTTAATCAAAAATAAATAAAAATTACGCGCAAAATATTAACAAAGTACCTGGATTTTATTTAAATAAAAAATTATATCGACATTGAAGTAAATGGAAAATAATTGTTACAAAATCAATAATTGATATGTAATGGTTTAATTATTTTTCGTAATTTGCAAGAGCATATCGATTTCCGGCTACAGCGATTGATTCACTGTATCTATTAGCCGATGTTTTATGATGTGCATTTCCATTTGTCTCTTTCTCCTTACATTTGAATTTCTACAGTCTATTAAATGCTTAATCACTAGAGATTATATATGAGTGATTGTGAATAAAAGACCGGAAAAAACGTTAATTATAATATTAATCTGAAAAAAGTCTAATGATTGAAGAAAAGATAAAAATATAAAAAAAATACATTATTTTTATATGCAGAGTCTGTTTCGACATTTGAAAGATTATTCTATTTACAAAAAATATGAAGAAAAGAATTTGAATAATAAAATTAATAAAAAATTGTTTAAATATAATTTAAAATGAAATAATAAATAACGTCCCTGAAAATCCTCTAACATTGAATAATCAAAATCTCTTCACATAGTTCAGGAAAAATAAAATGCTCAGAGCTTATAAAATATTTATATTATATGTTATGTACATTTTAATCATTTGTGTCGTTAAATTTACTATAAAAGAATTTCCATATGTAGTAAAGACTTTTATAAAGTACACAAGTTGAGTGACTAATTGTTTTTTAAAAATAGATGAAAGACAATCACAGCAGTTTGAAATATTATCAATGAATTGTCATTTTATTAATTAATACGTTTTTGTCAAGAGAGAAGTTTAATTAATTATACCTAACAGTTCTGAAATTGTCTTAAATTTCAGTCATTTGGGTCGCTTTGAAGTCATTAGTATGATGAAAGAAGAATAAAATATCTTTCATGTAGAAGTGAGACTACTTTCATCGTCTCTTTGAAATACAGGGTAAACCGTCAGCCATCAGAAACCCTTATCCACGACTATTTAGTGCTTTTTCATTCATTGAATCAGAGTTGGCAGCAACTCGACGATGATAATGGAAACCAGCCGAGATGAGGAATCCATCCAGTGTTATCAACGACGATTGTGAAAATGTAGGCCAACGGCTAAGGAAAGAAACAATCGGTGAATCTGATGGTGGGCATATTTGCCTAGTGTTCTTCTTCTTCATCAAGAGACAATACTTAATGTCTAGATAAAGCATGGTAGATCAAGGATGGCCACTTGGGTGTGCGTCTAGTTTTCCAGATTTGCTGGCAGTGAGCAGTCAAAGTAGTCTTGGAGACGGTTATACTGATCTTAAAACTTTACACAAGAAACAGTGCAAAAAGTTGCTTTGCCTTTGTAAACGTCATACCATAAGTGTTATAAGTATTAACGATACAAAGAAACTTTATTGGTATAATTGTAAAAGTGTTGAAGAAAAGGTCAATCAAGTAGGGTCGGAAGGTTATTATTGTAAATTACTAAAAATAATAAATGGTGCTTTGAGTACTTGGGCACATCGTTATATTGATGGTTTAAGTCACGCAAAAAAAGGAATCATGTATAAAATAAATGGTTCATCTAAGAAAAATATGAAACTGTTGAAGGAGAGTTGTTATTGTCATTATCATCCGCATCTTACTGCGGATGATTGTAATGCAGAATTTCTAAAGAAAGTCGTTAGTTTTAATCCTGAAATTAGATTCACTAATGGAACTATAGGGAAAAAGGTATATTAATTATAATTAAGTAATTAATTATATATCATATATATTGTATATAATAACTTGTATAAGTCTTTTGAAATGATGGAAATATACGTAGTTTCTAAAACTAATATAAATTTATTAATGGTTCTAGATGTCTGATGATGATAGAATGTCATTAACGACTGCTGTGAGTGATGATGATGATGGTGAAAGCGTTATTAATTCACCATATCGTGGGAAACAGACTGGTACTGCTGCTGCATCATTCAACTGTACTGGGGCTGTACGAAAAGCAGGGTAAGCTTTATTTACTTAGCGTGTTTACATTCTTTTAAAAATAAAGATTTTTACGATCAATACACAGCAAAATAAATTATATAATAAATATCAGATGGAACATTGTATGTTTTTATGAAACTTTATTTCAAATTAAATAGTCTTAATTTAAAAATTAAAACAATGAGTGGTAATTTACCACAATCTTGGAATGTCAAGTATGTCTAATTTCTACTATTAAATTCATCTAATAGTTTTAATTAATTTAATTCAAATGGGAGGAAGTGGAGAATACGCCCCAATTCTATTCAAGTCTATTAGCTATGACGCAAATCATTTTGACTTTTAAAAGTTTTTTAATTAATAACTGTATTTCATAAGAATGTTTGAATTATTTGTTAACTATGTAGATATACATTGGAAAAAATAATTAATTTTTTTTTATTTTGTTATTTAGATTCCTCAGTGTAAAAAAGTGGTTGCTTCGTAAAAAACACCAAATAGAATTAGCGAGAAAACGTGGATGGAAAGGCTATTGGGTTTGTTTAAAAGGCACCACCTTGTTATTTTATCCATGTGATTCACATGAAAGCAGAGCTGTAGAAACAGCACCAAAGCATCTCATTATCGTCGATGGTGCAATAATGCAACCAATTCCTGAGCATCCAAAGAGGGATTATATATTCTGTTTAAGTACAGCTTTTGGAGATGCATACTTATTTCAAGTAAGAAAAAAGTTTCGTTATAAATTATTTCATAGTCTATAGAATTCAAATTGAGTCAACTTGAAGAATAAGTTTTTTTTTTTTATTTATGGTGATCGTGTTCCAATAAAACTTTAAGAGTTTCTTATCTAAAGTATCTATTTTTTGTTGTATCAGTAAAATACAGAAGATTCTTAGTCTTTTTTTATGAATTTCTTTTTTTCGTTTGGTCTCAGTCTGAGACTTATTGACGATTATAATAAAAAAATGGTAGAGAAAAAATGTCGTGGGTTTTTGTTTTAGGCTCCATGTCAAGTAGAACTCGAGAACTGGGTGAATAGTATTCACTCAGCTTGTGCAGCTGCCTTTGCACGGCATCGTGGTAAAACTGGTACTTTACATCTCCTTCAAGAAGAGATCTTCCGGTTGGAAAAAGCTATTGAGTCTGTAAGTTCATTCATCAAAAGTGTGTAACTTCTTTATTGATTTAGTGATGTTATTTTTCAATTGTCAGGATTGCAAGTTGAAACACATGGCAGATCTTCAGCAATCAGTAGTTTCCGATGTTGACACAAAACAAGAAATCAATAGTCAAATAATTCAATGGGAAGAGAATCTTGAACGACTTCATTGTGAACAATTCCGTTTAAGATGTTATATGGCAAGCTTACAAAGTGGTGAATTACCTAATCCAAAAGTAAAAAAAATTCTAAAATTGCTAGTAATACATTGTTTTATTTTTTTACTCTTATTTATGATTTTCTTACAAATATTTCAGAGTCTATTAACTCATGTTTCACGAGCTACCAAACAAACTCTCAACAAACTTGGCGTATTTACAGTTTCTTCTTTCCATGCATTCATTTGTGCACGTAGTCCTTCATTACTTAATAATTTACTAGCTGGCCGTGGTGCTACCAAGAGAAGGCCTCCTCTTTTATCCAGGTCTAACAGTGGGTCTAGTCGAAGATCTCTACAAATGTCTTCTAGGGATGATGAAAAGAGTGTAAAAGTCTCTGTTCCAGAAAATCAGGTAAAATAAAAAAATTGTTATTTAAAATTTTAAAAATAAAAACTTTATGTAACGCTTTTAAATATTCTTTTTTTATAAAGTTCGTATCAGTTTTTCTTCGAGATGGAATGACTGTCGAAGAATTTTTGGCAAATGCTTGCAGTAGAAAAGGTCTTAATCCAATGGAACACTTTGTAAGAGTAAAGAAACGCCGAGATATGGAGGATCATAATTATTTTGTACCCCACAGAAGTGATGGAATAGAAACTTATGTAAGTTGTTATGTTTAAGAATTTTCTACTCAACACTTGTCGACAAAAGCTATTAATAGATTATTTCTAGTGACTTAATTATTGATTTTGTGGTTGCCTGCTTTTTTTTTAATTTGTATGTACGATTTTTTTTATAGTTGCATACCCATGAAGTAGTAGAAGTTTGCGCGAAAATTCTATATCAAGTTGAACTACAAAGGAATACTCTAGATCAAATGTGGGGCTTCTCTGTTGAAGCCGAATTGATTGAAAATTCAGATCGGCAAGATGAATTATGTTGTTACGTCAGTCGTGTCGAAGACAAGAGTGTAGCAATGCAAAATGGTAAGCAATATTGAGAATTTTTATCTTCGGTTTCTATAGAAAATAAAATTGAATATTCTTGGAGATAAAAAGACTCGAGAGATAAACGATTATCATGTAATCGGTTTCTTAATTTAGTCCGATAAACAATAGTGAGAAGCTTTAAAGAATAAATTTATTAAAAATGTAGGTAATGTTTATAAATAAATAATGTTATTATAAGAATACTCACCTGTCCACGCACGAGGATGGAAAATCGTGCTATCGGGTCTGAAATAATTGATTTTCTGTCATTTACTCTTCAATAGTCAAATAAAGATGAATGACACATGCTTCAATGAACTGTATAAAATATAAACTAAGTTATGGTACTCACAAGAAAAATATATACGTTCGACAGAAAAAGAATTTTTATGAAGAATCACTTTATCACGAATACTTCATACTTTTGTTAATTAATTCCTTATGAATTTTTATGATTGTTAATCGTATTCAATTGGGTCAATATTTGTTTTAAAAATTTACTCTTTATTTTTAATAATCCAGAAACATTCGTACGTGACCATCCATTTTTAGTTCAATTTAAAAAACATTTTATTGTATTTACATTTTTTCAAGTAATTTTGCTTTTGGATTATCTTAATACAACAAAGAAACATATTTAAAAGGGTTATTCAGGTGATTATAGTTAACACCTTTAAAGCGTTCAATAAACACCTTGTTAACTTGAAGTTATTAAATTAGCTATTTTTAAAAAGAAAATTTTTATAGTTAGTCATTCATTATTAAAAAACAATAAAAACATACATTCCTCTACATTTGAACTTGTAATTAATTATTCTACATTTAAAAGGTATGATTAATTCTATAATATTATTACAGGTATTATTAAGAGTGATGAAATTATGGTAATAAATGGAGCTATTGTGAGCGATCTTGACATGATGTACTTGGAAAGTGTATTACAAGAAGAGCTTGCACTTTGCATGATGATGCGTTCATCCAGAACAGAACCACCAGATCTTTCAGGCATGATGAGAGTAACAGATGATATTGAAAGTTTGGTGTGTCCTCCACCACCAACCGATCCTCCAGTAATTAGTGAAGAAATGATTTCGGGATTAATTGTTCCTGCTGTTCCAGGATGGAGTAAGTTTTTTATCAATTGATTAAAACTGTTTTTATTTCTTTAGTTTGAATGATTAATATGTAAATAATTTTATTAGGTAAAGAGGGAATAGTGCAAGACTGTACTCCAGGATCTCATTTAGATAGTAATAAACAAACATCTCGAACAAATTCGTTTGAGATTGAAAATTTATTGAAGACTGCCGAACAAGTAACAGGAATTTGTCGATCCCCTAGCGAAACTAGAAAATCTAGCCCAACTGGAAGTGTTGTCAGCTCTCATTCACAAGTACTTACCCCTAGTAGGCAACTTAGTGATGCTGAAAAATTGAAAAAAGTTATTTGTGAACTTATTGACACTGAACGAACCTACGTCAAGGTAAGTAAATAAGTAAATATTACTTTTATAATTCAACTGATGTTTTTAATCTATATACTATTTAATGTTTCAGAATTTGAATAATTTGTTAGAAAATTATTTGGAACCACTGAAACGGGAAACTTTCTTGTCTAATGCTGAAATAAATGCCCTTTTTGGCAATATTCAAGAAATTGTCACATTTCAAAGACAATTTTTACAAAATCTCGATCATGCTATTGAAATGGAAACGAATTTCAACAATTTTGACCATGCAAGTCAATTCAAGGTAATTGAAAATTTTTCATTCAACAGGAAACCGAAATTGCAATGAACTTGAATCATTTATATAAATCTGCTCTTTTAGGATGTCCTTTTTTCTATTGGAAGTGCCTTCTTACATTATGTAAATCACTTCAAGTTATACAGCTCATTTTGTGCTAGTCACTCGAAGGCTCAAAAAGTTTTACATCCAAGTAAGTTGTTTAATCAAAATTTTTCTTGTATTCTTATTAACTTTAATGTGAGATTAATATTATTATTGTGTTATAAGATGAAGGTAACCAAGCGCTACAAGAATTTTTACAAGCACGAAATCCACGACAACAACACTCGTCAACTTTAGAATCATATTTAATTAAACCTATACAGAGGATATTGAAGTATCCATTACTTTTGCAACAGTTAAAACATTTAACAGATGAACGAAGTGAAGAACATCAACATCTAACAGGTAAACAATTTGTATCATAAATTATAACTATACCAACCATTATAAAATGATTAATCTTAAAAATTTTTTTTTTTTTGTTAACAGAGGCATTAAAAGGAATGGAAAAAGTAGCTGAACATATAAATGAAATGCAAAGAATTCATGAAGAATATGGTGCTATTTTTGATCATCTATTTAGACAACATCAGAAATCATGCAAACAGGTATTATGTCATTGAAAACCAATTAATGTACTATCGATAATCGAGTAGTTTTGCAATTTCAATAATTGGGTAATTTTATTTTCAGCCAATTGACTTAAGTCCAGGTGATTTACTTTATTATGGTGGAGTTGAGTGGCTCAATATTTCTGATTTTCTCGGTAAAATTAAAAAAGGTCTTGAACTTCACGCTATGTGTTTTGTATTTAAATCAGCTGTTGTATTTTTGTGTAAAGAACGATTGCGACAAAAGAAAAAACTTATGGTAAATATAAAAGCTTTAAAAGCTTTCTATATAAATAAGAAATATATATTGAATAATGAGAAACATGAACTGAAAATTTCCAGGGTGTTTCTACGAAAACAAATTCCAATGAAGTAGAAATAATTCGTTATCAAGTACTCATTCCTGTGACAGAAGTACAGGTTCGAGCAAGTTCTGCCAAAGACATGGAGTCCCATTTCCTTTGGGAATTAATTCATTTACGAAGTCAATTACAGAGACGGTCAGAGAAAGTTTATGTTTTATCAAATAGGTAAAATTATATATTATCATTATTGGAATATTTTAATTGTCTTCTACTTATAAATCAATTTGTCTTATTAAAAATAATTATTATGCATTTTTTTTAGTACAACCGATTTTAGAAATGCATTCCTTAAAACTATTCGCCAAATAATACGTGAATCTGTTAGAAATATGAGCATTCCATCAACAAAACCAAATATAACTCAACCGCCAATTTCAATGGCACCACGAATGTCTACTGGTCATGTGGAAAAATTTGAAAAAATTCAAAGTCAAGGACAAAATGGAAATATGCAAAGTACAACTGGAACACTGTCCAAGAAAGCAGCAAAACAGCAGTTTTTAGCTAATACGCTGAATTCAAAAAGAAAACACAGTCAATCAAAGGTAGTGGAGCATGAAAATTCTGAAGACAGAGATAGTGAAGATCCTCCTACAAATCAACCAATGTCTTTTCGTACTCGCAGTAAAACCATCAGCGATACTTCAGGTACCCATACGTCACAATTATGTTAAAAATCTTTGATTTAGATTTTTTTAACATTCAAAACAATCGTTAATAACACAATACAAAGTGTTAAAAAAAAATACTTGAGATATTCATAGATTTTTTACACAAAATTTTTCTTCAACAAATTTACAAAACACTTATTCGATATTATTTAACCAAATTTGTTTGTTTAAAACGAAAAATACAATGAATATTGTATAAAAATATTTTATAAAAAAGGTATTTTTCGTATCATTCTTTAAAATCGATAATTTTAGGTGAAGTAAAGATTGATATGGATTCAGGAACAAAATCAGAAGGGGAAGAAGATACGCAGGCTTTTTTAGGCGAGAAGAAGACTAATCTTGGTAGGACACCAAATCATCTTACTCTGAGTACGGCTTCAACTATTTCTGCAGGCAGTACTGGTAGCCAAGCAAGACTTATACAGTCATCACATCAACCTGAGAATTATCAACCGATAACTGTTAAGGAGCTTGGTAAGAGACGAGTCAAATTGTCTAAAAAATATAAAACTTTAGATCCGTGTAATGAATTGCCGGTTTAGAATAATTATTATGATATTTTATTTATAATTATTATGTTTTTATTTACTTTTCTTTCACAGAGAAACATTTTAATTTTACTTCTTTCATGTAGTATAAGATTACTTCAGTTATTCATTACTTGTAATTGTAGACGCGTAGATAAGAACTTGAGTTCTTGTATTTCGAATTTATTATTCATTTATTATTTAGAAAAAAAAAAAAAAAGAAGAAAAACAATCAAATTATTATTCAGTTTTGATATCGTAATTTGCATGTATTTCTCGATTATAGGCGTCGACTTTTTGGATTTTTTTAAGGAACAATAAATAATTGCACGTTTCCATGTATTTACCCCAAAAAGTTTAATGAAATTTGTCATTTTATGCTGCATTGTTCATTTATTTAGAATGTTCAAACATAATTATGTATTCAAAGATCACTATGTTGTCTTTGAAAAGTAAATAATATTATATTAACAGATAGTTATTTAAATATAAATACCAAGTACATGGTATTATTATTTTCAGTTAAAAGAATGTTATTATTGCTTGTTCATAAATTTAATTCAATTAAGAGAGGTACAAATATAGCTTGACTTTATTTTAGAATGTAGATGAGAGTAATCATTAGTGCTAAAATTGATCATAGTTTTAATAATAATAATCATTGTAATAGATTTAGAACCAGAATATATTAGGTTGTTGCAAACTCATTTCACTGTAAAAGAATCATTATGATTAATTCATTTATTATCAAAAGTTTTAACTATTAAGATGCACATAAGCAGTATTCAATTCAACATTATCATTTATTTGAATAAATTCTAATGAAACTTTATAATTGTAAATATTACATTTATCATGTTAACATTGTTAAATTAAGTTTATATTAGAAAGTTAATTGTATTAAATTATTATAAATCTTAATGCTATATTTAGAGAGTTTAAAATATATATAAATTACTATTGATGACAATGTGATGTAAAAAATAGCCTAAAATCTGTAGATCTATTTAATTAATAATCTTTGTCTTTAATTATATGTTCATAAAACTTCAATAGTTATGATGAAAATATAATAGTTGAGTAAATTGATGACAGTGATAAACTCCAGGAAATTTAGCAATGAACTCACTATATTTGCAGCAACCTAATGATATTGATAAACTAATGAAAAAAGTCGGCGCCTATAAATGAATATTTATCCAATAGTAGAAAATAACGTAATTACATAACGCATAAGATTGAATTGAATTAAGATAAAAAATAATTCGTAAGAAGAACGTGAACAAAATTCTCGCTGTCAATTAGGTTCACCGATTTGGAAGCCGCGGGAACTACCTTCACTCGGGGAGGCCACGACGTTGCCGCGAAAGGGTAAGTCGGCGGGTGAATACTCTGATATAAATTCGGCCCATAGCGCCTCCCGAAAGTCATTAATAGAAATCAATAATTGTGCTCAACAGTCTAACTTTAATAATCACGTTTAACTTGATACAAATTCAATGGAGATGATTAAGTAAAATTATTAAAATGGAGAAAAAAAAAATAGAATATTAATTCATATAACAACTATATTGAACTTATATTTAAAAATAATAAATAATAATATTATAAATTAAAATCACCAAAGTAATATTACATATTACCATTCGATATTACTTAACTAGAAAGATAAATTTTAAATAGAATAATTTTTATTGCTGTCCGGGCTGCGATTCATGAAATATCTGGCTTTTCAATTTTCTACTTCGATTTAACACTGAATCTTATAATAAAACAACAAAAAAAAAATGACAAAACGTATAAAATTAACGAAAAATAATATACGTAATAAAGATAAGGAATTATATACTCAGGTTGTGTGTGTATATGACTTGGGTGTATTATAAAATTGAGTAACTATTTTAAACAAATTTATTGAGCAAAGTACAATAGATTATTTTATATCTCATGACTTGTTGCAAAGACTATCGCAGGAACGATTAATAATCCATTTAGATATAAAATAATACCAATTTCGTTAATTGTAGAAAATAGGGAAACATTACAGGGTTTAATGACTGTTGTGGTTATCTTTTGCAAACTTCCAATTTTCTAAAATACTGATTCTTACATTTTTTTTTTGTTTAATAAGTTTCTAAATTCATCAATACAATTTTTTTTTTTAATAAAATACTTAAAAAAATGTTCTATTACAGTATTTTAAGGATTTATTGAAGATCAATTATGTTATTATTATTATGGATTATCCTAAATAAAATTATTAAAAAAAAAAAAGCAAAAAATACATGAAAAGTTGAATAATTTATACAACACGGACAGCAATGATAAGAAATCAATTCTGTATATAATATCTCAATTATAAAAATATCTTTAATGCTGAAAATTACAATATAAAAAGTGGTTGTCAGTACAGATTATAATAAATAAATAAAAAGGATGAAAAAAACGAAATGTTATAATTATGAATTTATCGATAAAAATATTCTGAAGGTCGTGTGTATATTTATCCATGGATATACTCACTTAGGATTATATTTACACGTATATTAATTGTTAAATACACAAAGGGTACAGTTGAGATAAATCAGTATTAAAAATATAAATTTTTCCATTTTTTCCTAAATTAATTTTTTTATTGTAACATAATAATAATATTAAATTATATTATTTAAAGATAACTCTGTAGTAAAAATATCTATTATAACATCGAACATTATATTCTAGTTTGTTTAATTATTTTTCAAAAAAAAACAAAAAAAAATACAATATTCAAAATAAATTCGACAAAACTCTTTATCTAAACGATTACCCTGATATAAAATGGAGCATTAAAAACTAATCTACAAAAAGACTTTTTTTTGCAAAAAAAGTTTAAACATTTTACAGTAATTTTTCTAATTGTGACTGAAAATGTTTCAGTCTTATAGCGAATTTATTTTTAACATTGTTTAAATTATATAAAGACTTAAAGAATCAGTCACAGTTGAAAAATTAATATAATAATAAATAATATAATAATTGATTAATAGAACTGAATAAAATATATGTATGTATTATATGTATTTATATTAATTGATATATATGTATAATATATACACATATATGATAAACCATAAATAAAAGTAACAAATGGAAAGTGTTGGAAAGGAAAAAGCTGGCAAATTGTGGCATTGATTGTTAAAAAAAAATAATAAAATGATTTCTATATCAAATAGAAAAGTTTGTTCAAATCTGAAATGTAATATTGATATCAATCAATAATGACTGGATTAATTCGTGTAAATTAGACAACAGAAAGTATTCATAAATAGATGAGTGTCTACAAAACAAAAATAAGAAATACATATATAAATATATACAGTTAGATTATACTTATTCTCAGAATAAACGAATAATATTAATTATCTCGTCACGCGCGGTTATCTTTTGTAATGAAATTATTCAACGACTGTATTTTATTCACTCGTTTTTTCAAATAATAATTTAATTGTTTATTGTAATTATATATTAAATTATTTGTAATAATTCATTCTAAAGCGCCGACTTTTTTGCACTGAGCACTTTTATTTCTCAATGCATGTATGTTAATATTTATAATATTTATATATTTTTAAGAATTGTATACCAATGATTAATTAACCAAAGTTTTTAAACTTTATCTAATTTAAGATATTTAATTGCATTTAATATAAATCTATACTCTACAAATGTATATATCTTTTATGCAATGAATTATATTTAAATTTTTAGTACAAAATCATAAAAAATGTCAAGCTTTTTAGAATGTAAGCAAAATGTTGTAATTTATATTAGATATAACTATGCACAATTTATATTTAAGTTATGCATTTTAAAGTCATTGTAAATTATATTTTATTTTAAGAAAAAATCCATTTTGTCAGGATAATTTTTACTTGGTTATTAATATTTATAATATAAGTTTATAATTGATATTATTTATTTATAATAATATTTATTTGACTAATTTTACCGAGTGTGACGAGATTAGAAAAATTCGATGAACACAAAAAAGTTGACCGCGATATTCTATAAAAAAAACGAAATTATTATTAGATTTTTGAATAATTAACTTTTAAATATATAGATTGAATTTGAGAAGGTTTTCGCGCTTCGTCATATTTTTTGCTTAATCATTATTGATATTTTCATATAAGTCATTATTCCAGAAATAAGAATGTCAGAATCTAATTTACAAAAATAAAATTCCAAACAATATAAATGAAAATAAAAATAATAATGCAAATTATGAGAAAATAATATTTACAAGTTATTGTTATGAATCATATAATTTTTAACTGAACCGAGACACATTTGAAAAAAGTAAATAAATGCTGTATAATTAATTTTTCTTTATTTCTGCATATTATTCAAGTTGTATTTATTTTGTTCAATATTTATTATTTCGAGTGTGTCTCGAGTATAATAAATAAATTTCCACGCGTTGTGATTGATTTGAAACTGGGTTTCACCAAGGCCTGTTAACACCAATAAGACAACTAAAAAGACTTCGATTAATAAGTACATATAATATAAGTGTGAAACCAAAAACGATTTTAATGCCGGACCATAGAGAAATTATTATGATATATGTCTCGAAGGCTCAAAGTTGAAAAATGAATAAATAAATGAGCAAAAAAAAAAATGATATAAAAAATAGAGATGAAATTTAAAAACGAGCATTGACTGCACGTAAATGTAAAAGTTACAAAACATTAAATTAAATAAATAATAAAAATTATTTAAACAATAAGGCCCTTTAGCTTTTTATTTGAGCTCTAAAAAAATTTCATTTAAATTCATATTGGCCATTTAATAAAATAATAATCATTTGGAAAAGTCTAAATTGTCATGAATTCAATGAAACTGATCAACACTTAATGCTTATGATTAGGCAACAAAAAAACATGAGTAATGTCTAATTATTAATTATTATAAGCAATTATCACTCATAAATATTGGAGATAAAACACGAATTTTTTTGTTGCCAAAATTATTACATTATCACCTCTATATATATTTTATGTAAAAGTTCTGGCGAGGCGCAGCCTCCGATCGAGAGTGTTTACTTCTTTTGAATGAATGTGAAGAAATATACTAAAAAATTTATCAAAAAAATTTTTAATAATAATAATAATAACAATAATAATTCTTTATTATGTAATTTCTCAAAAAAAAAGAACAAAAAAAATGAAAGCTTTAATACCACTTTTTACTTTTCTTTATAGCTTCTTAATGTGTTTAGCTTTAAAAAAATACATTATGAATGGACAAATCACAATGAAATAAGTAATATTCCAAATTTTCTACCACTTAAGTCTTTCGAGATTTTGAATTTATATTTTATTTTTGTTCTATTTCCCTTTGTACGACAGTTAATACGAAAATAATACCACATACATATACAATTATTGACAATTAACAAAAAAAAATGTTAATTATTACTACAGAAAATGTCATGTAACTCATTAAGCTCTATCTTTGTGCACATTGGGATTGACCTTAGTAAAATGTGGGTCGAAAGTTATTATCATTAAGTAATTTAATAAAAAAAAAAAAAAAAATGTAAACTTTTATTAACAAAGAAAAAATTAAGATTGAAAAAGTGAAGTGAAAATTGGTTGAAATAAATGAAGAGGAGAAATAAAAATATGAGTATGTACTGACATAAGAAAATGAAGTTGGAGTAAAAGTAAAATGTATCGAAACCCTCTCGATTAGAGGCGTCCCAATAGTTGGCCTAGTACCGAGCATCACATTTTCACCCTCGTTGCCACAGATTATAATTAAATTATCGTCTATTATTGATATACTTCGAGAAATTTTATTGATATACATATAAACTTTATTGCTACCGTTGACGATGTATTTGATGATAAGAACGGGTAATTTACTTGAAGATAAATGGAAAATGATAAAAAATAATCATCTTGAATACGAATTGAGATTAGGGGAATAAAAATAAAGATACTATGTATGAAACATACAGGAGAAAAAAAGAATAGGATTATTCTTGAATACATATTCCTCACATCTCAATGTGTTCAGATTGAATAAAAGTAGTTTTTAGCTCACTTAGAATGATCGTTACACTGAAAAAAAGTGTATGAATTAACAAAGATAAATAAAATTTAAAAAAATAAATAAGTCTTTCTGAACTGAAAAAAAAAAAATTGAAAAATATTTCAAAAATTCATAAAAAATGAAATTTTTTTTTTCTTTTATTGGCACATTTGCTATGTAATGAACCAAAGAGTGTATTATAGTAGTTAAAAATTTTTGAATAATGTCTTTGAGTTGAAACTTTGTAGTGAAAAAAAAATGACATATGGTATTAATTGCCAGTATAATTACAATTATTGATTATACTTACTGTATCTATTGTTATTGTTTATGAATTCAGGAGGTGACATTTACGAGAGATCCATTTGTACAATCATTGCGTCATTAAAGTATGATTATTCATTATCGAAAATCTTTTTTGCTTATAAGTATTTACCTTACCTTAATACATATTGACATAAATAAACTTGACATACGGTAAAAATAATTTATTTTTTAAAGAGAGGCATATTACTGTATATACATCAGATAAAGACTATCAAAAAAATATTTATGATAGTAAATTTTATCCATTCAGTATCAATATAAAAGTAAATAGTATATAAAATATTAATGACTTCATAAAGTATTATCTGGTGTTTTATTAAAGATTTTTTAAGCTTATTTCTACACACCTGTCCGATAAAAACATTCTTAAAATTGATAAGCCGATGGGCTATTTATGATTATCGCTCTAAAGTTCACTTCATAATTGTCTTCATTTAACATCAGTGTAAATTTATATCCAGAAGTCAGGAACTATTGTTCAAACATTTTAAAAAAAAAAAAATGAAGACAATAGTCTTTTTTTTAATAAATTTGTGGATTCTGCCGGTATTTTCTGATGATTATACTTGTGTTTGGTATGGAGATTGTACTCCACAAGGAGAATACAAAGTAAAAAATTGTCCCTATCGAGGGCCAGCACGTTTGATTAATAACATCACTGCAGAAAAGATTCTTAAGGAACGATGTCCCCATTTTTTTGACAACACAGGTAAGTTCAAAGAACTTTTCGTTGATAAAAACGATTGTGATTAAAATGTTTTTGTGATTAAAATGATACAATTCTATTCAGATCATCCCGCAACATGTTGTGATGTTGAACAAATCATTTCAATGCATGATAGTATGAACATGGCTGGAATGTTATTCAGTCGTTGCCAAACTTGTCTCAGGAATCTGTTAAATTCTATTTGTGATCTAACTTGTAGTCATGACCAAAGTCGATTTATGGTTGACAAAGTAATCAAATCTGATCCAGCTACAGGAGAGAAATATATTGATGAAATAGATGTAAAGAATTTGTATAAAACTACTAAATTGATTATTTTATTTAATTAAAAAATTTTATTTAACCTTTTTTTAAAAATTATCGGTAGATATATATAACAGAAAGGTATCTAAATGCCACTTATGATTCCTGCAAAGGAATTGTGATGCCCAACAGTGGACAATATGTAATGGATTTGGGTTGTGGACCACATGGAGCTGCATTGTGTACTCCAAAACTGTAAGTCTCTGCATATTCAATAAAATTATAACAGCCTTAAGTAATTATCACGTAATTATTATTTACAGATGGTTTGAATTCATGGGTGATCATGAAACTCTATTTGTGCCTTTCCAAATTAATTACATAACCCAAAAAAATAATGACTATGAGCAACTAGATCCAACAACACGACCATGTAGTGAAGCATACAATGTATGATACATTAAGTTACTTAATGAGAATAATTGACTAGAAAAACAAACATTATATTAGTAAATTTTTTTAAAGAATTCAACATCTTGTAGCTGTGTCGACTGTGAGGAGGCTTGTCCTTATATTGAGTGGAAACTTAAAGAGTGGGAATTCAAAATTTTTAATTACAATGGATATGGAGTGATTGCAGCAATTTTAATTCTAGTTTTAAGCTTTTTTTTTATTCTAAATTATTTGTGTCTCTCTCAATTTTGGAGTAGTAAGTTATTTTAATTAGTTGTGAAATTCAAAACACTGGAGAATATTCGAATTTATAATTAATTTAATTTATTTCTTAGATATTTGTATTCATATGAGCTGGCATTCTTCAAACTGCCAAGGTTTTTCAAAGAAAATATTTTTTTATTGGGGATACTGTAAGTACATTGACATAATTTTAAAAAATAACCATTGATATCACAAAGATAAAAACTTGTAAAAATTTTTCTATCAGTTTTTGCAAGATATCCTGTACTTTTACTATGCCTTATATCATATGTTGTCGTTGGTTTGATACATGGAGCATTATATCTTAACGTAACTGTTAATCCTATTGAAATATGGGCAGCTCCTGCAAGTAGATCAAGAGTGGAAAAAGATTACTTTGATAGTCATTTTACTCCTTTCTATAGAACAGAACAAATTTATCTGAAGCCAGTTGGTTTAGACAAAGTAAGACCTGCTAATTATTCACTCTAGAACCACAATATTGATTCAATATTTTTTTTTTAGATAATATACAATGTACGAGATGGTTCAGATAAATTGGATCTAGAATTCAGTGCAGTTTATCAAGAAGATTTCCTACTGGCTGCCTATCAGCTACAGAAACAAATTACGCATGTAAATGGTCAAAATAATATTTCATTTTATTTTCAAATGAATCAATATTTATATTTTATTCATTGATTATTTTTATATCATAGATCACCCTAGATACTGGTGAAGGCTTTGAAAAAATATGTTATGCTCCAGTGAAAAATGATTTTTCTACTGAAAATCCCTTGGATCTTTGTACAGTCCAAAGTATTCTAGGATATTTAGAAGCTGATAATATGATAACCGAATCCTCTTTAGAATCGGATTACCTTGACACTTTACTCAGATGTTTGGGGTAAACTATGATTGAATATTACACATTCTGTATATTTTATTCACTTTTGAATTTTAATAATTTATTAATAGTCAATTTTTTTCATATATTTGCTAGAAACCCATTCCAGATTAATTGTCTTGCACGATACAAAGGACCAATCCTTCCTGAAATAGCAGTGGGTGGATTTCCTCCAAATCCTCATGGGAATTACACCAAAGAAGATTACATAAAAGCAACTGGTTTAATTTTGACCTTTGTGGTTAAAAACTCTTTAAATAAAACTGAGTTAAAGTCAGCATTAGAATGGGAGACAAAATTCTTAGAGTTTATGAAAAATTGGACGACAACTGATAAACCTGCATTCATGGATGTTGCTTACAGTGCTGAGAGATCCATTGAAGATGAGTTAGATAGAACTTCTAAAGCAGAAGGACGAACAGTGATTATAAGTTACATTTTCATGTTTTGCTACATCACACTAGCTCTTGGAAAATTCAAAACCTCTCTCCAATGTTTTGTACGTATCAAATAATTATTATTAACTTCTTGCTTAAGTAATACAATAAATAAACATAAAACTTGTAGATCAGTAGCAGAATTCTATTAAGTATTGGAGGTATTATCATTGTTCTGGCCTCAGTTGGATGTTCTCTTGGAATATTTGGATATATTGGAATACCCACAACTCTATTGACTATTGAAGTAAGAATTGTTTAAATCTATTTTAATATTTAATAATAATTTATATCAAATTATTTTTTTTAAAAAAGTATCTTTTCATCCTTCAAGGTAATCCCGTTCTTAATATTGGCTGTTGGAGTAGATAATATATTTATTCTAGTCGAGACTCACCAGAAAAATTCACCTAATCGTGATGAAACAATACCAAATTACATGGCAAGAATTTTAGCGGAAGTAGGTCCATCAATGTTACTGACTAGTGCATCAGAATGTTTTTGCTTCTTAATTGGAACTCTATCTTCAATGCCTGCTGTTAAGACATTTGCACTTTATGCCTCAGTGTCTATTTTAATCAATTTTTTGCTTCAAATTACTGCATTTGTTAGCTTATTAGCTTTGGATATGAGACGATATTACGTAAGTTGATGATTCATTGTGTAGGATAATCTCATAGTAAGATAAATAAATAGAAATTTATTTGTATTAGGATAATCGAGTTGATATTTTTTGCTGCATTAGACTGAAACTTACGGACAAAATTGAGAATGAAGGAATAGTTCATTACTTCTTTAAATATTTCTACACTCCTTTGATAATGAATAAAACAATTAGCACAATAATTTTATTTTTGTTCACTGGAGTTTTAGTACTTCAATGCATTGTAGCACCTCAAGTTGAAATTGGTTTAGATCAAAAGCTCTCTATGCCAGATGATTCTTATGTTTATAAATATTTTCAGGTATTTATAGGAAACTTTAAATAATTAATGCAACTTCAACATTGTATAAATAATCTAAATAATTTTTTTTCTAGTTTATGGATGATCTGCTATCAATGGGTCCACCTGTATATTTTGTTGTAACAAAAGGATTAAATTACAGTGAGCCACCTGATCAAAATATAGTTTGTGGTGGATCGAATTGCAGTTCTAATTCTCTTTATTCACAAATTCATAGTGCCCATAAACAACCACTAGTGTAAAATACATGTCTTTTTAAATTTAGCAATTTTTAATTTTAATTTAACATTTGATTTTGAATTTTAGATCATACTTAGCAAAACCACCTTCATCATGGATTGATGATTATTTTTCCTGGACTTCAATGGAAAATTGTTGTAAATATTTTCCCAATAATGGATCTTTTTGTCCTCATAATAATGGTAAATCTATTCATATTTCATCATTTCTAATTGAAAAAATATTGAGCAAAGTTTTTATTTCAGATAAGTGTCAAAAGTGTGATATCATAACAGATAAATCAAAATTGAGACCAAATGCGAGTAGTTTTCGTAAATATACAGAGTTTTTCTTATCAGATACTCCTGATGAACTTTGTGCACAAGGTGGCCGAGCTATGTATTCAGACGTATGTACATAATTCATCTTCATTTTTCAACATTTATTCAAATAATTACTTTTATTTAATCAACTTAGTCTTACTTCAAAAAATATTTACTTGTTTTTTTTTTCTTAGGCTGTAAAATACACAAAAGATAAATATGGAATGATTGATATACATGATACCTATTTTATGAGCTTCCATACACCTTTGAAAAAGCAATCTGATTGGTATGAAGCTTTATCTGCTGCACGTTTCATTGCTGATAATATTACAACAACAATAAATAATGAGTTGTTGAGTAATAAAACAATAAAAGTATTTCCCTACAGGTAAATCTATCAATCTTTAAAATATGATAAAAATATTGATTCCATAATTGAAACATCATCAATGCTTTTGCAGTGTATTTTACGTGTTTTATGAGCAATACCTGAATATTTGGATAGCAACTATAGAATCTCTAGGATTGTCATTGCTTGTCGTTTTTGGAGTCACTTATTTACTTACAGGATTTTCTATTTTCTCAGCAATCATCATTTTGCTTACAGTAACGATGATACTGATCAATATGGTGGGACTTATGTACTGGTGGAATATTTCACTTAATGCAATTTCTCTTGTAAATTTAGTGATGGTAAATATCATCTTTTTACATGAAATAAATATCAATTTATAATTAATAATGATAATAATGTTTTGGTGTGCTAGACAATTGGAATATCTGTTGAGTTTTGCAGTCATATTGTTCATTTTTACTTGACTTCAAAACATCAAACAAGACTTGATAAGGCATCAGAGGCCTTATCAGTCATAGGAAGTTCAGTAAGTTTACTTAGTCTGTTGACTTTTCTTCTGACTCAATAAATTATTTTTACATTGTATTAATATGTCATTAATTGTAGGTATTCTCTGGAATTACGTTAACTAAATTGGTAGGAATAATTATTTTGGCATTTGCAAGGAGTAAAATATTCAGCGTTTTCTACTTCAGAATGTACTTAGGAGTATTAATTATTGGAGCAACGCATGGATTAATATTTTTACCAGTCTTGTTACGATTTGTTGGTAAGGCGAATAGAAAATCAATTACATCAAGTACTTGAATAAACAGTGATTAACAAGCTCATACATTTTTCTAGGACCACAAAATAAAAAAGCTGTATTGACAACTAGCTAATAAGATGTTTTAAAAAATCAAATGTTTATATTTGAATAGATGGAAAAGGAGAAGTATTTTTCAATAAATGTTTTTGTAAAAAAAAATAAAAATACTCTTTTAAAATTTGATTAATGTGTATTTTATTGTATCATCAGATTACAATGTGTCTAATTGAGATACTGCATTGTAACAAAAGAGATAATTAAAATGTGGAATGAACAATCGAAATAATATGAATTCTAAAATTACTATTGATGTTTATTCAGATTTCTTTTGGCAGCATTATTTAGCAGCCACCTCGAAGACGCAGGACCAAGTGCAATGTCGATTCTTTTTGGATATTATAATCAGAAAGAGTTCGTCCGTCTTCTAATTGTTTACCAGCAAAAATAAGACGTTGTTGATCGGGAGGAATGCCTTCTTTATCTTGAATTTTTGCTTTGACGTTTTCGATAGTATCAGAAGCTTCGACTTCTAGAGTTATTGTTTTACCAGTTAAAGTCTTGACAAATATTTGCATACCACCACGGAGACGTAAGACCAAATGTAGAGTAGATTCTTTTTGGATGTTGTAGTCTGATAGAGTTCGTCCGTCTTCTAATTGTTTACCAGCAAAAATAAGACGTTGTTGATCGGGAGGAATGCCTTCTTTATCCTGAATTTTTGCTTTGACATTTTCAATGGTGTCAGATGCTTCGACTTCTAGAGTGATGGTTTTACCAGTAAGAGTTTTCACAAAGATCTGCATTCCACCACGAAGACGCAATACTAAATGCAATGTAGACTCTTTTTGAATGTTGTAGTCTGATAGAGTTCTTCCGTCTTCTAATTGTTTACCAGCAAAAATGAGACGCTGTTGATCAGGTGGAATACCCTCTTTGTCTTGAATTTTAGCTTTGACATTTTCAATGGTGTCAGAAGCTTCAACTTCTAGAGTGATGGTTTTTCCTGTAAGGGTTTTTACAAAAATTTGCATTCCACCTCGGAGACGTAAGACCAAATGTAGAGTAGATTCTTTTTGGATGTTGTAGTCAGATAGAGTCCGTCCATCTTCTAATTGTTTACCAGCGAAGATAAGACGTTGTTGATCGGGGGGAATGCCTTCTTTATCTTGAATTTTAGCTTTGACGTTTTCAATGGTGTCAGATGCTTCAACTTCTAGAGTGATGGTTTTTCCTGTAAGAGTTTTCACAAAGATCTGCATTCCACCTCGAAGACGTAAGACCAAATGTAGAGTAGATTCCTTTTGGATGTTGTAATCAGAGAGGGTCCTGCCATCTTCTAATTGTTTACCAGCGAAGATGAGACGCTGTTGGTCTGGTGGGATACCTTCTTTATCTTGAATTTTAGCTTTGACATTTTCAATGGTGTCAGAAGCTTCGACTTCTAGAGTGATGGTTTTACCAGTAAGAGTCTTTACGAAAATTTGCATTCCACCACGGAGACGTAGAACCAAATGTAGAGTAGATTCTTTTTGGATGTTGTAGTCTGATAGAGTTCGTCCGTCTTCTAATTGTTTACCAGCAAAAATAAGACGTTGTTGATCGGGAGGAATGCCTTCTTTATCCTGAATTTTTGCTTTGACATTTTCAATGGTGTCAGAAGCTTCAACTTCTAAGGTGATGGTCTTTCCCGTAAGAGTTTTTACAAAGATCTGCATCTCGATACTGTCAATTAAAAAAAATATTCGTCTTTTAATTAATTTATCCTTAGTTCTTTATTACTACTTTACATAATTATGATGCAGCTGTTTTTGTCGAAGAGAAAGTTAAGTCTACAAAATGGCGTTTTCATCAGAACAAAGAAAATAATTGTAAACTTCTTCAAAAATATATTTTTGTCAGTAAAAATTAAAAGATTAACGCAAATATAATAAAAATGTCTAAATGTATCAAAAATAAACCTTTATATTCAATCTATACACAAAAATTGTAAAATATATTGATCGACCTACAAAAGACCACACCATGAAAATTAAATTTTAATCTGTTTGGTTTTACAAAATTAACGAGCACTTAAATATCTAAATTAATTATTATATTGGTTAAAAGATTACTTACATTCAATTGTGCAAGTTCAATCAATTTAATGAACCTAATCAGCAACGATTTATAGAAATTCTATAAAATTACACAGCGAAATCAACTTCGATATATATCCCACCGAAGACAAACAGCGAATGATCTAGAAGCTGGGGTCTGCAAGCAACGCAAAACAGATGCAGCCAACTGTAGAACAGAATTATGATATATTTTAATTCTCCAGTGATGCCAACTACTGAAATTTTTATCTAATCGTCACATCCTATACTCAATGCTCATAGAAATTCATCTTCATGCACGTAAAAAAAATATTTTTGATAATTCTATTCATTTTTTGTATTTAAAAATTAAAAAACAAGATAAAGAATTAATTAATACAAATAATTGTAAAATAAAAGAAGAATAAATATTTCTAAATTATAATTTTATTCACGATTCATCTCTGAATCATGTGAATGTGGCTTAAGTTTATTGAAACGATCGTCTCAAAATGGTGACTGGAATGTATTATGATCTGATCAACTAAATAATTACTTATTTAAACGAGCTCTTCTTTAATTATTCTTTAAAAAAAAAATCTTTTATATTTATTTATAATTTATCGTAAACGTTCACATAATTATTTGACCATTAATAAGTGTTTACGTAGTGTATAACATTAAGCTAAAGAAAAATACACAGAAATCCTTGTAATAAGATAAAAAGTATTCAAGTTTGATCATTGGAGCTTTTGATTCAATTCGAGAAACATTCTCAACAAATTCATACAATAAGAAGATGATGCTGTACTTTGGTGAGGAATTTTAAAACGAGACAACACTGAGGTATTCTAAATGTCAGGTAAATTCTTCATCAAGTATTTATCTATAACACATAACCTAACTTGTTGAGATTACAAGTACTCGCTGTGTATATAATTTAGTAACCAGTTGCATGTGTACAAATATAATTTACGTTAAATTAATAATGGAATTATTGATATAAGTTTTTAAATAAATATTTTTAATACTATTTTATGGTTATGATGTTTGTTGACAATGAATATTTATTTCAGCTACATAAGGAGGACAACAACATCTGAAAGGGTTTCGATTGGTAACGAAAGGTTTTTATAAGTAAAAAACTAAAGCGCTATCATCATTTTTGAAACTTTTACACCGGTGAGTTCCAACACAAAATATTGCTTCTTCGAAAAGCGGACTCAAAGCCAACTAACCATGTCTGTACAAAGTGTTGCTCTGGCATCTCTCACGGCCACCTATACCGACTCGGAGGGCGAGGACGGGGTGGATGACGACCTTCAGGAGAATTCAAACACTCCCCAGGGGGCCGCCCCGCAAAATGCCCAAGTCGGTCAGCCCCGGGCTCTCACCAGTCCCCAATCTGGCAGATCAGCCTCAAATAGTCCCAACGTTGCCTCCAGTGTTGGAGGAACTTCTAATAGTAACTTATCGAATCCGCTAACTTTAGTTACTGATGTGTCAAGGGTGCAGCGATTGGTTTCTTATATTGATGATCCAGTTCTCTCCGATGACGAGGGGTTAGCGGCGGCACCAGTTGAGAGCCAACCTGCAGAAAATGGTGGGCTCTCAGCAACTGAGCAGTCGCCCTCACGTCAAGGAGAGTTAGTTTCAGATGGAGAGGCAGATCAATATGGAGTTACTATTCCACCTGAACCGCCTGGTCAATATCCATCTGAATTGCAGGAAAAAATTACTCAACTTTTCAGGAAAATGGAGTCTGGTGGTTTGGATATGAATAAAGTCATTCAACAAAGAAAAGATTTTAGAAATCCGTCTATTTATGAAAAGCTTATTCAATTTTGTAGCATCAACGAATTAGGTACCAACTACCCTCCTGACAGATTCGATCCATTCAAGTGGGGGAAAGATTCTTACTACGAGGAGCTTGCTTCGGTTCAGAAAGCTGAAATGGACAAACTCGAGAAAGCAAGAAAGGAAAAAACGAAAATAGAAATTGTTTCTGGTACAGCGAAACGGCCGAACAGTTCTACAACTACAGTCGAAGAAGACGCAAAAAAAAGAAAAAGTAAGTGGGACCAAGTAGCTACTGGTACTACACTTACTGCCCAACCCGCTTTTTTATTATCTCAACCAACTTTAACTACATTGACCTCTTCAGCTACTGGCACAAAAGCAACAGTGATATCAGCTTTTGGTTCGTTACCAAAGAAAAGACTGTAACATAAACATATTTTGTAAAAATTTTTGTGTATATATAGATATTTTCATTTGCCATTGCCATTTTTTTTATCTGTATCGCATACCAAAAAATACAAAGCCACGTATGCATCACATAATGGCAAAAATTCACAATTCATTATCAATTTGATATACGCATTTGTCATGTAAAATTTATTTTGTAAACTAACTATTGGTCTTCATCATTTATCATGAATATTTTCGTTCTCTTGTTATTTTTCCATCAAATTTTGGCAAAAAATGGTTAACATTCCATTTGAACTTAGAAGTGTATAACTAAAATATCTGAGAAGTTTGCTATGTTTCATATTCATTTTTTAAATAAAATTTTATCAATGTTATATGTTATTGATGATTTTGCCAAACATTATTAAATTTAGGTTTTATTTCATTAGATTATTATTTAGAAAGTTAACTGAGAAGTGAATCGACTATTCTTAATGATTTATGTTAAGAATAAAATTTGAATGACATATTGTATCGATTATTTTCGTGAAAATTTTAATAGTTTCTTGTGTAATGATTAATATTAACAAACTTCTCAGGAATTACGTTTCAGATAAAATAGATAAACCGTTACTAAAAAATAAATAATATGATTAATTAAATATAACTACAATTTGTGGTGTGAAAGAAATATATTTTTGCAAAGAAAAAAGGTATAAATAGCATCAAATTCTTCGAGTGTGCTATGATACTGCCACAGTTATTAATTCTTTGTTGATATTAATGTAATTATTAAATAATGTAGTAAATAAACAATCAATGATAAATCATGTGATAAAGTTAACAAATGAAAATTAATAACAATACTTGGTTTCTGTGTGCTTTTAATTTATGTATGAAATTAGTACTGAAAAAAATATCATGAAATATATATTATAAATTGCACATAAGAAACGAAAATATTTTTAGATAGAATCTTAGAGTTAAATTATTTATCAGGTATTAATAAAAGTACTTTTTAAATTTTGGTAAAAATACCTGAAACAATATAGACATTCATTAATGTAATTCTTTTAGTTAATTGCAATTAATCATTTTCTGTTGTGTTTAAATTCAGATTAAGGACAGTTATTTAGTTTAAGTAAACAAAAATATGTGTGAATTACAACTATTGTTTAACATAATGAACAACAATCGTATTTCGTAATTATATATTATAAAAAAGTTTATTATTAAAAAATCGAAATAGTTTTAAATAATTTTGTTAGATTTCTATCTAGAAGGATGATTTACTAATGGAGGCATGAGTAAGTTTTGGATTTTATCATTCAATATATTTAATTTATTTGATATTCGAATCAAGGTGAGTGAACCAAATTCTGCGAAAGACATTCGAAACTATACAGTGATTATTAATTATCTAAATTACTTTGTGAAAATATAGGTTTGATAAACTAGTAAATGTACAAATACATGCATAAATTTATAAAAATGTGAAAAATCATTTTTTTTTAAATACTTTATATTGATTATTAAAATAGCCTGGAAAAATATTAGTATTGATTTTGATATTGTAAATACATATTACTCAAATGGGAAAATGGCAAATGAGATACAGAAAAAAATATTTTTGAAGTAATCCGTATCATAAATTATTTATTACGTATTTGTTTTTTTTTTGCGTTTATTGTAAAAACATTACTTAAACTCATTCTTAAATAATAATTTTTTTTATCATTTTTTAATTGTTTACAAATCAATTCATTCAAGTTTTCTTTAAAAAATTCAATTATGTCGATTAGTGATATAAAAAAATATACAATTATTAAAAATTTAGAAGAATAATAAATGACTATTTAAAAATTTTACAATTCAATCATTTTAATAATAAGTAATTACTTTCAATAATCAGTAATTATCAGGATCTAAAGTAAGAATTTTAGATGATTTCGAACCATGAGATTTCTGAAAGAAGTATATTAATTTTTTTTATCAAGTTATTTTTCTTAAAATAAAAACAATGAATAAGTTGTCGAACATACCACTGCTAGAATACCAACAAGTATATCCGCATGTACCATTGAATTTTCATTGAAAGTCGCGTAAATAATTTGATGTGATTCATTCAACGTCTTGAAGTATTGCACTATATTTTCGGAATGAACTACATCTAATGATGCATCAACTTCATCAAAGAGAAGAAGAAATGATGAATCGACTCTGAAATAAAAACATTATGATCATTAGAATTTTTTACGATTTTACAATATTTTTATTAAATATTCTTAAACTTTTATATTATTAAAATAATTGATATTACTTTAAAATAGCAAGAATGAGTGATATCATTGCTATCATTTTTTCCCCTCCTGAAAGCTTGCAGTGGCCATAAAATTTGTTTCTCCTTGGTAAACAGATATATTGAATGTCACCTAAATAAGGTTCTTCTAGATTCGTGGCTTCTAAAAAAGCATGAGCATCTTCATCTCCACACAGTTGCTAAAAAAAGATTTAACAATAAGAGATTCAGAAATTAATTTATACAAATAGAAATATTACCTTATAAAGTTCTTTAACCCATTTAGAAATGATTTCAAAACCATTCATGAATTTTTCACGTCTTTTCTGTTTTATTTCATCAAAATTTATTCTGATGTTTGCCAGGTTTTTATTTAGTTTATCTATTTGCTGATTTAATCCTCTAACTTTTTCCATAATTTCTTCTAATTCTTGGGACCACTGCAACATTAATAGAATCCAAATTGAAATGATTATATCATTTTTATTAACACAAAAGAAATGAATCTCATTGAAAATTACCTGGTTATTAAGATAAAGTTCACAAATTTTTCCATCTATTATTTTTAATTGAGATTTGTATTCTTCACACATAAGTTTAAGGCTGTCAATATTATTATTGATAATTTCATTTGTAATCAAACTATAATCTAGTTGAATAGAGAGTTCTGGACCCAAATGTAAAGTTGGAAATTCATCACTTATTCTATCATCCATTACAGAGTTTTTATTTTCATCTGAATCGAATGAGCTGTGAATTAAATCACCTGAACCTTTGATGAATGATAAATTTTTCGACTAAAAAATTTATGAAAACATTATAATAATTAATTTTGTTAATATAATAAATTTATAGGAATAAAAATTACTCGAGCCTCGTTGAGTAAATGATTGAATTCTTTATAACATCGTTTGTACGAATCAGCACACCGTTTATGACTTTCAAATTCTAAATAAAAAAATCCATGTATTAATTCTGATAGACATTTTTCTAATTTTTGTACATCTTTTTTCAATTTTGTATTGTCATAATCGATTTTTTCTAGCTCTTTTTGTAACGGCTCTAACATCTTTATCTTTTCGTTTTCTTCTTTTTTTAATGTTTCATATTTGTCTGTTTCCTCCTGCAGTTGAATTTTTAAATCATCATTTTTTAGTTGATAACGTTGAAGATCGCTTTTCGTATCATCTTTTTTTTCCCGTTCTAATTCATCTTTAATTCGTTCCAAGTGATTAACATATTCCTCTTGATCTAATTGAAGTTTTTTAAATTTCCTTGAATTAAAAAAAATATTTACATATATAAGTAATAGTATGGAAATAATAAAAATAAATTTATCAATAAAAAAATATGTAAATGATGTCTACTTTATGAGATCTTGAAACTTGGAAATATTTGTAATATTATATTTATCATAAAACTTCTTGAAAATCGAATTTTCATGAATGTTTGTTTGATCTTTAAATTCTTGTGCTTCTTCATCTAAATTCTTTAATTGTTGTTGATCTTTTTTTTCCTCTTCCTAAAAAATTAAAGTGTACTATAAATATTATATTTATTTCGTTATTAAAATATACTATCAAAAATACTCTACCATCAAGTTAGATAACTCTGATTCTAGCTGTCCTTTTTTATTTTTTTGTTCTTCATGTTCAGCCATTACATCTTTTATAAAAGACATTTTCTTTTCAATAACTTTTGATTGAATTTTTGATAATTTTTTCATTTGATCCAAATTTATCAGTTCTTCATTAATATTATCCATTTCAACAAGTAACTTTTTTCGAGCATCTTTTAAGCTTGAGATATCCGGGATATTTCTTTTCATGGTAGATTTATTCTTGAATATTATACCATTGTTTTTGTAGTAAATACCATTCAATGATATACACTGAAGCATCAATCATAACAAATGACCATTTAAGAATGAAACAGTATTGTAATCAATTATTTTTGCAGTAGAAGACTTACATCATTACGTTGCCCAGATTTCAAATTGTAGGCAATCTGGAAAGCATCATTTGGAGTTTCACATACTAGTGTCTTTTTGAAAGCAAATTGTACTGCTGGTCTAATTTCCTCTGGATATTTGACAATATCGATTGCAAGTTTCACATTTTGTATTTCTCCATACTCATTAGAATCCCTAAAACATGTGAAAAAGATAGAATAAATTTTTTACCAAAAATTATTTTAATATTATAATTCATTACTGTGACGATTCTCTCATGTATTGATTTTTCAATAATTCAAGAGTTAAAAATTTTATGCGTCCTGGCAAAGGATGTACTGCAGTATGACATAAGTAGGCTGTTTCTTCAGTATCAATGACAATCGTTGAAGAGTGTCTTTTTAAAATAATTCCTAAAGCAATTTCATATCGATTGTGTATGGGCCGACAAAGATCACTCAGATATCCATACTAATTAAAACAGTTAAATTGAAAAAAAAATTATTATTCGTTTTAATCGAGAAGTCAATAGAAGTTTAATTTGACTTACCACTCCTTCTTTTATCTTGTTTTTTAAAGATTCCATGATTGAAATCTTGTTTTTATACTTTTCAACATCAGCTTTATGAGATTTGAAAAGCTGTAATTGTTCTTCAATATTCATTAATTCATTTTCCTTCTCTCGATAAGAATTCATTAATTTTTCTCTTTCTACTCTTTCTTCTTTTAATTTTATAAATTCATTCTTCAAATTTGTGTATTGGTCGGAATATTTATCATAATTCTCTAAAAATGAGCTAATTTGTTCAATTTCCATCTGTCTTTTCATTATTTCCATTTTCCTATTGTTAATATTATCGTGTAATTTTTTCTGTAATTTTTTTATTTTTCTTAATCTTCTTGAAGAGTCACTACCTTTTCTTAATATTTTATAATAAATCGTTTGATATTCTTCTTCCTATAAATAAAAAGAATCTTTAGTAATAAGATAATAAACAAATTAAATTGTTAAAAAAATAATTCGTACCATTTTAGTAATATTCTTTTTCTCCAATTTCTTAAGGTGTTGTTTTGTTTGATTGTTAAGTTCCTCAATTTCTTGATATTCATCTTCAAGTTGCTTTATTCGTTCTGTTCGTAATTTGTCGACTTGCTCAGCTTTACAAATATCTTGTTTAACTTTATGGATGCTTTGTTCAATTTTTTTAATTTTAATCGAAGAATCATGCATCTTCTTCCTTACAGTGGCAAGCTCATTTTCTTTGGCTTCTATCAGGCTTTTTAGATTGATTATGATTCGTTCATTTTCAGCTATCATTTGATTTTTCTTTTCTATATCACCTTTAGTCTTTTCACGTTCTTTTTTTCTATCGGCTTTTTTTTCTTCTAGAATTTCAAATTCTTTTTTATAATTTTTCATGTTTTGTTCAGTAATGTAAAGTTGTAGGAGATTTACTTTTTCAGTCATTCTTTCCTAAATGCAAACCAAAAAATTTAATTAATATTCCATATATAATTTAATTAATTCATTAATTCATTCATTGAAAAAATTATAAACATATTTACAAATTCAGACTGTAATTCAAGTCGAGTTATTTCTTTTGACTTATCTAATTTTTGATTGTGCATTTTTTTATTTAAATTTCTTTTTTGTTCATTTAATATCTTTCGTTCATGTAATTGTTCCTCTAGAGCTTTTTCCAAAGATTCATATTTATCTTTGTATTTAACTGATCCAGTAATTTCTTCAAATCGAGCTGCCCGTTCTTTTGGTTTTTCTAACAATGATTCAATCGATTCTCCTTGATAAATAATGAAGTATCGTGTTTTAGCATTAATCCCTATTTCATTTAATTTGTTTAGATATTCTTCTCTATTCACGATCTAGATGAAATTAAAAAAATTTTTTTACAACATCAATGTTCTCATGTTAATCAACAATGTACTTTTATAACTCACGTCATCGTTTATTGTAAAAATGTTTCGATTTTTTCGTAAAGTCCTTGTAAATGTTATGTCTTCCATGTCATATTTGAATGTACAAGATACAGAGCATTCTCTAAAATTTAAAATAATTTCCATCATGAATTTAATCAGTGAAAAATAAATAATTATTAAAAATAAAAATTAAAATTAACTGTACTTTTCATCATTACTGCATACTGAATTAAAATAATTTCCAATTTTTGCTGGTCTGGATCTAAACTTGTTTTCTCCAAAAGAAAAAGCAATTGCTTCCATTAAGTTGGATTTTCCTATAATTATTTTTAATAATTTTTAAATATGAAAAAACACATTATTATTTTAAAAATTAAATTACGAATTCATGCTCAATATTATTTACATTAATCTTACCACAACCATTGGATCCTATTACAATATTTAAAGATTTGAAATTATCTATACGAACAATACCAGCGTATGATTTAAAATTTTTTATTTCTATTTTCAAAAGTCGAGTTGCCATGTTTATATTTGTTTCAAAGTTATTCAAAAAATACAGTTTAATGCAAAGAAATTTTTGAAATGAAGTTTGATGTTTTATCTGACGCGGTCTCTACTTCGTTTGAAGCTTCGGTTGCGTATGGACGCTTTTCGAAATGTCTCGCACAAACTACTTGTTTTTCCGCGGAAAACTAACGAATATTTAATTCTAGGAACAGCATTTTCAAAAAGCGCCACTGTTTTGAAAATATGCCGGTTGGTATATTATCAAATAAAACAACAAAAAATCTACTTTATCGTCATGTAAAAGCAAACATGTAAAAAATTACTTTATCGACATAAAAAAATTTAAATTGCTCTCAGAACAATAATTCTCCACAGTTCATAATTGTTATTATTCTATTATATATAATTAAGTGAGTGTCAAAGAATCAATAATAATAAGATGACGTAATCATTTATTCTAATGATTTTTTAATATATACATATAAACTACATTTAAAAATTTAATTATACAATCAATTAGGTTAGACACTGACAAAACGATAAACAAGGCTTTCCAAAAAAAAACATGTAATTGATGATGTAAAAATATTTAATATTTATTAATAACAAAAAAATCATTGTTACTGATTTCATGAAGTTAATAAAAAAACATTAAATATTTGAGGTCGTCTTATCAATATTATATTGACAGTTAATGAGTTATTTCAGCAAGTGCTTCTTCATGTATTAATCAGATTTTCGATTTTTTATCAATTTGATATTAATCCGGAGCATTGGATCCATATATATACAGGTTTGTATTACTTGGTCACATTAAATGATTAGTAATATAACATAATTCATCTAATAAGAAGTAAAATATACCGAAAGTTCTGTAAAAAATATTATTTGAATTAATAATAGTTTGAAGCCAAAAGGATCAACCATCCTTTTATAATCATTTATTGCCATGCATCACAAAATTTTTGTTTTTTTGTTTTCTATATTAATTTCACATGCTTTTGGAAAATTAGTACATAAAAATAACGACTGGATTCTTAGAATTATTCATACAAATGACATGCACTCAAGGTATTTCAAGTTAACTTCTATTTTAAAAAAATATTCAACAATTCAAATTATAAATGAAAATGTTTTTCATTACTATTTGTTTTAGATTTGATGAGATCTCTTCTACTAATAAAGTATGTTCTTCAGAAGATTCAGAAGCTGGAAAATGTTACGGTGGCTTTGCTAGAATTGCAACTTTAGTCCGAGAAGCAAGAAATTCAAGTTCTGCTACACTTTTTCTAAATGCAGGAGATTCTTATCAAGGAAGTAATTGGTTTTTTGTGCACAAATGGAAAATTGTATCTGAATTTTTAAATATTTTACAGCCAAATGTAGTTGTAAGTTGTTTAAATCATATCGTTAAATTAGAAAGTCAATTTATTATTTCAATAAATCTTATGAATATATTTTCAGACACTGGGAAATCATGAATTTGATAATGGTGTAGAAGGATTGATTCCTTTCATAACTCATGCTCAGTTTCCAATTGTTGTATCCAACTTGGATCTTTCCAACGAGCCATTGCTGAGTGCTACAAAGATTAAAAAAAGTGTAATATTAACTGTAGCTGGTAGACGGATTGGTGTGATTGGGTATCTAACTCCTGATACTCAAAACACTTCCAATACTGGCAACGTACAATTTTTGGATGAAGTTCAATCAATAAAAAAAGAAGTTAAAAAACTTCAAGCTAATGGTGTAAATATTTTAATAGCACTTGGCCATTCAGGATTTTCAATGGACAAAAAAATAGCAGCTAAAGTTGATGGGTTAGATTTAGTTATTGGAGGACATACCAATACATTCTTGTATAATGGAAAGCCACCAGGTTCAGAGAAACCTGAAGGTCCTTATCCTGTTGAAGTTGAACAAAAAACTGGACGAAAAGTATATGTTGTTCAAGCTTATGCTTACACAAAATATTTAGGAGATTTATCTATTAAATTTGATGCAAAAGGAGAAATTATTAAAATTAAAGGAAATCCTATTTTAGTGGATAGTAGCATTCAAAAAGCACAAGATGTTGTAGATGAATTGGAAAAATGGAGACCAGCAGTGGAAAATCTGACTACTTATCCCGTTGGTTCAAGTAAAGTATTTTTAGAAGGCAAAAGTGTAATTTGTAGAAAAGTAGAATGTAATTTGGGTAATCTTATCGTTGATGCAATGATTGATTATGTAAGTAAAGATGATATCTTATACTGATAGAATAATACTTGACCATGAAGTTTATTTATAATTATTTTAGAATATGAAAGATTATAAAAATGATAAGGGATATTGGACTGATGCTGCAATTGCTATGCACAATAGTGGAACTATCAAGGATTCAATCAATAAAATGCCAGATGAAGATGTAGAAATTTTAATAAAATATAATTTTTGCATAATTTGTACTAATACTTGGTTTTTTTTAGATTACTGTAAGTGATATAATGTCAGTATTGCCTTTCAGCAATGATCTAGTAAAGCTTGAAGTATCAGGAAAGCAGATTCTCCAAGTATTAGAACACAGCGTTTATCAGATGCAGCTGAATTATACCGAATATTATTCTGGAGCTTTTATGCATTATTCAGGAATTCAAGTAAGACATCCATGAATTTAATACTTAATAAAATGTAATTATAATTCTTTATTTTTTAGGTAATATATGATTTGAATAAACCAAGTGGATCAAGAGTAGTACCAGGTTCTGTTTATGTTCGTTGTGCCTCTTGCCGTGTTCCTGTTTATGAACAACTTGAGAATAACAAAATGTACACAATTTTGACAATAGATTATTTACGAAAAGGTGGTGATGGTTATAAGATGTGGACAACAGCTAATTGGACACGAACAGGTACACTTTTTTATTTTAGAAATATCTTGTTTTAACTGAATGCATTTTTTTTATCAGGAATCACAACAGATGAAGTCCTTATTGATTATTTTCGAAGACGAAGTCCAGTTTTTGCAGGGGTTGAAAGGAGAATTCAATTTTTTGATCATGACAATTGATAGAAATATTTGTACATATATTTAAAAGTGATAAGAGTATATAGAAAATCATAAACACAAGTAGTAATTGATTGAATGAGACCAGAAGGGTAAGAGTATGACAACTTCAAGATCAAATAAAAGATTTACACTTCTTCATTGAAAATTATTAGGGTGGTATAGCCGGATGGTTCACCTCAAAAGAAGACCCCGAATGATACCAATTATGTCATCATCGTCGTATAACCACAACCCCACTGTTGCCATTCTGTTCGACGATGGCACATTTTGTCATCACTATGAGTTCCGCCCGCATGTCACCTCCTTCTCTACTCATTTTACCCTTGTTTCGTATGACATAACATCCCGCAACGTTTCATCCCCTCATATTGAGACTAAGCTTCGCTAGCTCTTGTATATCACCAGGATATCAACAATATTAATCAAATATAAACATCAGTTATCCTATATACATAAGAAAAATCATTCTTATTATTTAATGCTATTTTATTTACTGATGTCAATATTTGGAATACATTCAGCCATGATTCATCTCAGAAATTAATCATGTTTCATCTCTTTTACATAAAAACAATCATTTTTTATGATAATTAATTTTAGCATTTTTATATCTTTAAATTTTAGATCGTTTTTATTAGCAGAACTCAAATACTCCAATAATTTACAAGTATGTTTTTTAGTTTTACATTGAAATTCATTTTGGAAAAAAATATTCACATGTGCAGAATTATATGATTATATATGAATAGAAAATATTTCAACAAAAATATATATAAAGATTTAGTAAGGTGAAAGAAAGAATAGAACGACGAGGACAAGTCACAGAAGGGGAAGATAGATAATCAAATAACCTGCACGCACCGTATAAATTATCAATCAGAGCGCGATTGTGCAACCCCAACGGAGGTCACCGCCTCCTAGAGTAAGGGTTGTTACACTGACATAGGGATGTTCTATGTTTCTGTTTCGGTAACACCGACTGACCTCGCTTATCTTCTCTCCCTTCTCGACGTGCGTAGGCGTATGGACGGACTTCTGTTGAGAAATGGATTATCTGACACGTGTTTCGTCATTGAACTTTGACTTTCCTTACCCAAATGTCTCACACTACTATTAGTATAATATTACACGTGTTTTATCAATCATATTTTTTCCTTTATCACTTGTCAATCTAACTGTTAATAAAATTTAGTCGTGTGCTTATTGGTGAATTAAACTCAATTACTTGCTATTTTGTTACATTTGTACGTATGCATATTTTATCAAGTAAAAAACAAAATGTAGAAGTAGTTGAATATGCGCTGGATTGTTTATTTTTTAGAATGTTTAATCTGCAAATGAACAAGTTAATTTTATTATGATAAACTAAACATCAAATTAAGATATATTTCTATCAAGATTAAGGTTTAAATTCGAATAAAGAGATGAGAGAATTCGTGGCACGTTTCAATAGCAGGTGAAGCGAATGCACCTATTAACAAATGCAGCCACGCGTTCAAACAAAAGAATCTCCCTTACTTTTAACGTGGGTATCTTATATGGCCGCAGGCTATGTTGAATCGTTCATTGAAATAATATCTATCTAAAAATGAACTTACGCATTTTCTCACGTTTACAGATGGATGACTCCTTAGGATTTATCTTACACAAGAGTTTAATGCGCATCAAACATTTCATCTGTATTTAAAGTAATGACTGACTTTTAGAGGTGCAGTGAGAGATTTTTTTCTCATTAAATTATCACTTTTTCCAGGATCATTTCAGATTTGGGCATATCTAGAAAAATGAAAGGAAATTTAGGATAATAATGTTAACGAGTTTGTTATTTTTGTGACCCTTCACAGAATAAACTAACAATCACCTTATGTCCATTTCTCTCTTAGCTCCTGATTATACACATCTAAGAGAATATAAATCCCATTTACCCGTACACTTTATATCCTATGCAGCGCATAAATTCACCAACACCAAACGATTCAGCTCTCATACATACACTCAAGTTAGTTTGGCTCTTGGTTAGTCTTTGACATTTGGCTGTTTCCAAAGTAATTCAATAATCCTGAACCCTGTCCCTTTACTCCTAGTTAGATCGTCAGTCTGACAGTTCTCATTACTTGCTCGAATGTTATTCTTATACAAATGCTGCAAATGATCCTCAATAAAAATGGATCCACTTGGTGTTCCAATTAAAATGCTTGAGTAAATCGATCATTGATATTTCTCAGTAAATTTCAAGACTTGTACTTATAAACTGGATGTCTTTTAATTTGTTTTATCATCTGAAAAAAAAAGATTGAAGATTATAAAGTGAAAAATAGGATTATTTTTCATTTATAAAAATATATGAAGTGTCAAGTTATATAAATTGATCAGGTACATTCGAAGGCAATTTTAACAGTCCAGTTGGTGGAATAATTTTAGCGGGGACCTCACAAATCATTAACACAAGACTCTTACACGTTGGCGAAATCACGAGGGTGGGCATTAGTCGCGGGAGACTCCTGTGGGTGCCACAGAAAATAAACGGTTGTAAAAAGAGAAGATGTGAGTGAGAAAAAATAAACATCACTGGTAGTAGACTACAAGAGAGTAGTATAGCATATAGAGAAAGAGTAAAAGATTACCGGCGACATAAGTCATTCTTGGACCTTGAAAAATAATCAAAAAAAAGGTTAAGTTCATTTTTAAAAGTATAGAAGATACAATTTTTTACGTGTATTAAGGGATAAGAATGGTGGGAGACAGTGTCCCCGAAAAATCGTGAAGCCTACGCGAACACGAGATGGCTTCAATATATTTTATCCACTGACTCTTGGAATATTTGCGTCTTCCACAACCACTTTTGTACACCGCACACCAGTATTTATGTGTCGTCGCCTTTTCTAAGCATTTGATATATGAACTATGAAGAGTAAAAATGTCCTTTTGCAGTCATCATTTGTCTTACTGCTTCGCGAATGTTTATTTAAATATGTGGAAAATGAGTGATGGATTTTCAGAGAATTATCATTATTGTTATTCATCAATCCATTCTTCTGCTTCTGATAAGAGACATCAACCATTCCAGGTATTTTATTTTATCTCTGCAAAAAAATAAATTATATAGATTTTTCTTGTTTATTCAAGATAATGAAGATACTACTATTCAAAGTCGCTAAATTTAATTGTATTTCATAAAATACATACAATCATGAAATTTCTGTAAATTTACACATTCAATTTTGAATCATCTGTCTGCTTAGGAGAACAAGCTCATTAGCAAAACAAAAGATACCTCGTTTGCACATTGGTCTTATTCTTTTTTTGACTCATTATTATTATATTTGCATAACCTAACTTATTCAAACGTAATTTTCTTACAAAATGTATGAAATAATGGTCGTAGATAAAATAAAAATACTTATAGGAGAGGAAAGTAAGAAGCTTTGATATAGAAGATACAAATTGTGAGGTTATATCTCTGCCAGATGAATTTTAAGTCAAGAGAAATCTGAGGACGAGGGAGTCGACTCCTTGATTAGGTTAGTACTTACTTCAGTGATTGCCGTTTGTAAGTCCTTTGCCATTTTCTGTATTATTATCCTAATAATTATTCAACAGAAATTTATTTGCAATTATTAATGAACGTTTTGAAAAATTGAAGGTTATATTTATATTTTTTTTTTTAGGATCAAACGGAAGTTGAAAAAATGCAGGTAATCAATACCAAGAAGATAATTAACGTAGTTGTAAAGATTGAGAAATAAAAAGTCATTTATAATGCAGTTTCTATATCTATGTATAAAATTTTGTAATCAACTATGCAAACGATCTTTATAACGTGACAGAAATGACTGCTACCATCGTGCATTTTTTGCTCGTAAATGTTTTCTGGTAAAATATAGACGCGGAGTTCTTGTGTAATAACAGACTAAGATTTTAGTTTACATTAATGATACATTGGCTCTTATTTGTCTTTTATGTTTGTTAATAAATTCTTATGACATTCGCAGAATGATTAGTTTATATAGAAAACTAGTCATTACAATTAAAGAACTTATATATACATTAAATAAAATGTAGCTACTTTATACTTGCTAATGATAATTATAGATATTTCAATCATACGTTTTATGTTTGTGTAATTTCAAATCTCTTTTTCATGATGTTCATAAAAAATAATTTATATCAAGAGAAAAAAGATTTAATTTTTTTTTTTATCTTTTCAATTTTAAAAGCACTAGGAAATGAACATCCGTTCTAAAATATACGTAAAGTTGAGATTAATTTTGCTTTGAAATCAGATAAATTATTTTTTCCTTGAACTTAATAAAAAAAACAATGTTATAAAGTACATAAGATTTATGTGAAAACGTTGATATTTTAGAAAAGACGATAAATCAATTAATAAAATGATTCATAACAAGTTAACTGAATTTATAATATTGACTACATAATTTAAAAACGAATTAATATTCATAGTTTTTATTCATAAAACATTGAAATGAAATAAATATTTTTCATTATGTTAAAAATTACATAATTATTATTTTTTTTTTTTCATTTTTTGATGAACGACATTACATTGTGAACTGTGGATTATTTATTTAGGCAGTGGTAATGAGATTTTTATTTATACGAAATTTTCGCTATGGAAATAACTTGGTAGTAATTTTTCGCATTCATGAACCAGACTCAAGTCGTCGGATGACTATAAATTATAAATCGAAAAAACGAAAAGATGAGCAGTAGGCGGCGAGTTACGGTTTCATGTTAAACATAAAATACTACAACCCACGTCATACTAGTGATATTAAGTAGCTGTTTACCATATTTTAATTAATGTATATTAAAATTCAAATAATTAACTTTATTAGCTATTTTTATAATTAAACATTATTTGTTCAGGTGAAAGACACAATACAATTTTTACTAAATAAATAAATAATTATTTCAATAATATTTTATTTCAAAATGTAAGCGTTGATTTTTATTGAAATAATGATTTGTTTTTGAGGATTATTTATGGTCAAAAATCTCACAAGTTTTACAACTGAAGAGAATGAAAATAAACTCAACATTTACAAGATTTAGTTATGTGAATGCCTATTAAATATCTTATTAATATTATAATAACTTCTTAATGCATGTAAATCTTGAATCAGGACAAGGCCACCTTGGAGTTTGTTTTATGAGAGGTTTTATAGATTTTTCAGTGCCGCTATCTTCGTCCTAATTTTATTGCTCAAATCACTTCAGTTTTGATATGGGTGAGATTTTGACCAATCTGAAATATTTAGTAACCTTGGAAAAAAAATTTTTCAACTTAAAAAAACGATCAATTTTCGCTAATGGAATAGTTGAGTATCAATAAATATGTATTTACTGTTATTTTAATTTATAAAAGAAATTTCTAACAATAATTTCATTGATCTAGAATCTATAAACGTGCTATTAATCTTTAAACTCAATAATGATGTGTGAGAAAAAAATGATAAATAATAAATCTCAAGTGTATAAGATCTATTGAAGTAGTATGTCTAAATGTATATACTACAGGTACCTGCACACCTGAATAGCAGCAGGTTCGAGTGATGGTGCTAGTATGACGATGTAAATTATTTATTCACTGGAAGACTATGAATAATAGCCACGTCTTAGATGCTAACGCATTCGGATATGTTATTGATCACCAAAATATCACAAGTGGGCGTATCAATCATGAACAGAGTGAAAATGAGAAGAGAGAGTGATAGAAGCTTGTTGGGAACGACTGTTGTGATATGGATGAATCCTCGATTGGAATGCATCTTCCCAGGTGATTCACACCTTCATCGATCCATCATATTAGCTACTTGATTTTCAAGCCGTGGATCATTTGCTACAATTTGTGTGCATGATTTGAAAATTTTCTTTTCAACACTTTCAATAATCCTCTTATTAACGTACTGTATTATGTTCTGTTACTTTTCTTATTATCTCTCATTGATTTTTGTTCACCTCAATGATACACGTGGTTTTTTAGTCTTATTGATAGCATCTGAGTTAGACAGGTGAGGCTTTGCTATCAGCATCAATCTATCTTTTTGTCCAAGATAACTGCATTAAGTACACGCAGATTAGCTCGATACATCTGTGGGGAATGAAACAATTTTACTTCTAGACCACCAATCATCAAAAAATCACATTGACATTCAGGATTATTTTTTTTGTTCCTTGCTAAGTTATAGACATGGTAAGATTATATGAGATAAAAATTCCCTAGATGTTTTAATTGAATAAATACATTCTCCCTTCAACCCCAAATGCTAAATAGAGTGTAGGATCGGTGCTCAGTCAGACGTTGTAATTTTTTGGTCATGATCTCAATATACAATTAAGTAATCATGTCTGCTATGGTGAAATTAGAGAGGGTGAATGTCGCAGAAAATATAGTTCTACAGACCAAGTGAATGATAAAAAGCATCGCTTGGGTGATTCAGGCAGGATATGATTAGGTCCATGACTGAATGATAAGACTACTTGATGATCAACTGATTAATGCTGGCCTAATGATGATCCTGTTGTCCATTCCTATATTAGATTGGCATCAGTAGGATATTAATTAGCTCCAAAATTTTAGGAAAAATGTTGGTGTAAATGAAAAAAAGAAAGGAAATAAATACCACATGATGTTGGTCTGGAAATATGTAGAATGATAAATAATCTGAAAGTGTCGGTGTCGGGTGGGATCCACTCTCAACAACTGCCGAGACAAATCTGCGTCGATTAATCTTAACTTCGAACTATCATAGCAGAGCCTATATATTACGGAAGAATGTTCTGAAAAGGTTAAACGAATATTTATGCATATGTAAGCAGAATAGTCGATGACCATCCGATGGAGTAAGTTGAAAGAGTAGGGATGAACATGCATCGATCAGGTTAACAAAGTGCCGAGAAAGCGTTATATTAGATACCCCACATGGATTTACATGTCGATGGTTTTACCACGTGGTCAATCGTGATACTCTTGGCTGGCGCGCGCTCCTCACAACGAGGGGTAACCTACTGTCTCGAAAATAGCCCCCCAACTGAGCACACTTCTTTTATATTTTTTATTTTCTTCACGCATGCCCCCCTATGGAGTTACCTCTTCATTTTATCCTGCTGACTCTCTTGCAATACAAAAGTGCGTCCTCAATCCTTTTTTGCTCAATTGATGGAACAACCGACAACTTTGTAATAAGCATATAATAATTGCACACCATATACATTCGCTGTGTGTATATGGTTACATTACACGTGCTATTCTGCTGAATTATTGACTAACTGAACTTTATTTTCTTCATTATGTACAAATAAAATCTTTATTGATTCAATATCAACATGCATTAAATTTATTCATTAATATTTTTTTGCAATTTTCAATGATACATCACAAATTATGTTGTTATTAAATATTATTTTTTGTAAATGTTTCAGAAAAAGAAGAATAAATATAAAACAGTGATCAAATGGTATATGAAGGTCTTCAGTATGTAGAGGAGTTACCACAGAACCCAAAAGAAACATTTTTGATTCTTATTTCTCCATAAATAATTTTAATGACACGTCGCGACTGTTCGTATATGAGGTGGAAGCAAGTCTGTAGATTTTGTATCGCTGTAGGCAAAGATTGTATTATTTATTATACATATATGTATACTTATAGACTGGACCTCACACATGCTTTACATATGTAATACAAATGCAGGTAAATAAATAGCCTACATATTTTGTGTGAAGTGATAATGTAATATTTAATAAGTTTAATTGAACCAACTAGAAGGTACATTTAATGAAATAGTCACTGAAGACATTTTATGTCAACATGTCACTATCAAATAACACTTTATTTTCTAGTTATCTTTTTTTTTAATACTGTGATATAAAAAATAAATATTTATTAATCCAATAGTGGATATAATATTACATAATTGAGTATTAATATTATTTAAATTTAAACAATAGTAATAATGAATTCGCAAAATCGGACTTATTACAAATAATTTACCACTAGAAAATAAAAAACTTCACTGTCTGACTAAAGGCAATGAAGACTACTGATTTTAATAATGAGCTGAATTTTTTCAAACGACATGAATGAAAATTTGCAAATGTAATGTGTTGTAGAGAAGTAATGGATAAACAGGATAATAAATATGAATAAAAATAAAAATCAAAAGTTGTGAATTCAAAAATACATGTTGTATATTTATCAGATTTTCCTCAATATTTTCAGACCCTCAATTATCGATTGCTTGACGTTGCCAGGTGCGATTCACCCTACACCGAGATTCATCAGCATGAAGGAGAAGTATATAAACGGTCGTATCTCGCGAAATTGTAGGAATGATGTTGCAGGGCGGGTTTAAGCAAAAAGGAGTGGTAAAATGGACCAATGAGAGTTTCATGAATCAATGGTACGCCCACGGTATGTCGAAGCTCCTCCTATTGAATGAAGCTAAGTGTACTGCGCGGTGTAACTTCACGGTTCTATTGAGCCCAGGGATTAATACTCAGCCGCGCGTTGAACCATGGTTTGATGTTAGACCCGCGCGTATCAGACACTGTGTCGCGGCGACGTGTTATCGCTATTGTGTTTGCAACATTGATATTGCCAAAAAATTTTTTGCAAAACATACTATTATTGAAATAAATATTAACAATGTTAGTTTAGTCAGTGCAATAATGTTAGCTATCAGTGTAGATAAATTTTGCAAAGTAGTTGGTGAAGAGTAGACACAATTTATTTTGTTATCAGTCTTATTTATTTTTATGGTGATTTATTAATTTTAATCCAATAAGGAGTCTATCGTTTTTTAAAGAAAAGGATTATTATCATGAAGGTAACTATAATTGTTTTTGTAATTAATTAATTCAAAAATCATTGGTTCCACTTTCTTATAC